AACACCAAAACCTCGAAAAACAAGAAAAGGATATGCCAAAACGAGGGGAACGGTGTTGCTTTGGACCCGCCAATTTCTGTCTAATCTAAATTTTAATTTATGTATTAACTTAAGCGGGATTTAAATTTTATATTATTTTTATTTAAGATTAAATTTAAATAGTGTCAATTAAATAATTTCAGCGATTAATAAATTATTATTATTTTATAAGATTTTAAATTTAAATACAATATCTGTAAAAGTGTATAAATATTTATTATTAAATAGTTAAAAAAATTTCGAATATATATTATTTTATGTTCATTTAAACAAATAAAAAATTAAATTCATTTTTTGATACATCTAAAATAAATATAATGTAATATTAGTTTAAAGATTTTTAATTAATTAATTATGAATGTTCATATTTATGTTGGTGTTCGAATCTGTGATCTCTAAAAAGAATAACAAATCCCTTAACCATTAAAATTAGTTGATTCATGCAAATTAAATTTATTTTAAACCCTTGTTTGATCGAATTCAAATAATCAAGTTAGAATAACAATACGAACGAGGGTCGGTCGCACATAAGTTGTCGATATTATATATGATATAATTCACGAAATAATTAAGATTACTTAAAACATATACTATTTGGGTGGAGCTTTCCTTGTATATTTTTCAAAGAATCAATTAGTCAATGATTTATTTGGAGCAGCCCAAGTTATTTAGAAGACTCGATTGAAATCAGCATAATATACAAATTGGTACTTAGCCTCATTTTTCTTTTTCAATTTGGTACCTGTCTTTTTATATATATATTAAAAGGTATCTAAACTTCCCAAAAGGAAAAAATTATCGACACGAATTTAAGTATTTAACAATGAATTATTATTGTTGTTATAAATGGTTACTTTACAATGTAAAAACAAGTTTAAAAAGGTCAATGGGTTCTAAGAAAAAAGTTAACCTCAAATGAAAGTGACGATTGCCTGGTTTGACTGCAGCAAAGAACTCAAATCAATGAACATCACAAACAACTAAACCCACAATCCCCAGAATCAAGGCCGCAAATATGCCTTGGATTTTCGCGGCCGACGATCTGTAAACGGTCGGAGACGCCACCTTCTTTTGTTTTCGGATGTCGATCATGATCTCGAAACGACAAGGCGGCTTCGACGGATCAACGGTTGTAATAACAGCCGAGTTGTTAAAATTACATGCTCCCTTACTTTGATTCATTGTCTGAAAGTACGTGTTGAACGCATAAGAAGCATTGCTTTGTGCGTCCAAATTACCGCACGAAGAACCATACCCGAGGCTGGTGCAATCGCCGTTCTCGCAAGCGTAAGTGATGCTTTGAGCCAACATGTTGGGGTCCGCGCCGGCCGAAGGCGACATCACACACCATTGCTTGGCCAAATACTTGACGCCTTTGGCCGGCACGACGGCTCGTCCATTTCCCATATCCAAAAGGATACTTGATGCCACCATCGTATCTGAGGATACCCCAATGCCTCTCGAAATTTCCCGGCAATGTGCTCTTATGGTCTTCGTCGATGAGCGAGAAGATATAAACATCCGACGGTGTTCGTCTCCTCGGACTGCCTTGGCCTTGAACTATACGGTCCAAAAGTGCTTGATTGAACCTCTTGGCGTTCTTGATGTTGGCACTCGGATCACCATCCGTCGGCCAGCCAACTTCGCCGATGACGACCGGCATATGTCCGAAGCCATTTTTCTCGAGAGCCGAAATCAGGGTATCGAAGTTGGCATCGTACACGTTGGTGTAAACAATGGAACCATCAACGAGGGGCTTAGCCGTGTTGTTGAAGAAAGCATATTCTTTGGGGAAACTGGGGTCTGCTTTCATACTAAGAAAGGGGTAGATGTTGATGGTGAGGAACCCACCATTGTCTTGAAGGAACTTGATGATTTTCATCATCAGATTTTGGAGTTCGGGTCGGAAATAGCCGCCGGAGGGTAGGCCTGAATCAGTCTGGTAGACGTCCGCGTTAATTGGGATGGTTGCCTTCACTTGCTTGCCTAGCCCGGCTTTGATAAGGGCTGCTTGAATGTTTTGACGTGCTGGAAATATTGTATTCACGAACAGATCTTTGTAATCACGTAGGAAAGGTTCATTGCCTATGGCTACCGACCTTCGTAGTTGTCATCATATACATATATTAGTGATTTTATCATTAAATTTTAAATTCCACGATCATATAAACTAGGTCAAATATTCTTGCTATTAGTCCCTTTAGTCTACATGGATTTCAAATTTAATTCTAGTACTTTAATTTGGTCTATTTTAGTTTATTATCTTTCAATTTTAAAATTTTAGTCTTAACCCAAAGGGTACAAGAACAATATAAATACATTACAAGCTAAAAAAATTCAAATAAAAGAATAAGAATTAAATCTACAACTTATACACAATACAATCATTAATAGTAAAATTTGATTTTAAACTGATTTAATTTATATACAAATTAGGTTTAATTATTTTTAGGTCTCTCCTAATTTTTAAGTTAGGCAAATTAAGTCTTACCTTCTATTTTTTTGTTAGATTCAATTGCTTTTTAGGTATTCTTAGCTTTGAAAGAAGTTGAATTAGATCCTACCCCCCCATTGTTTGGTACAATTGCGTTTAAAGTCCCTCTTAGTTTTAAAACTAGGCAAATTAAGCATTGACCAATATATATTCTTTTCGTTTAAATACTTTTTAGGTTCCTTTAAATTTCAAAATTAAACAAATTAGATCCAAACCCCTCGCTATATAATTTTAAATCTATGATTTAATAATCACACTCTATCGTCATTTTATTCCTATTTATATTTGTCTTTGAAATTTCATCCTGACTCCGTCTCATCATATAGACTAATAAAAAAATTAACCTAAAAACTACTTGTTGATGTACCTTATATCAGTTCCATGGTTGGATATGTAGTTGGAAACATTTCGTTGCCCCCATGCCTCAGCATTTCCCACAGCACTTGCAAGCGAAGCCAACATGTAATTTGGTATTCCAACCATAACTTGGATACCTGATCTGCCGAGAGCTTTGAGTGCACCAGGATCAGCTTCGAACAGCTTCACTTTGTTGAACCCATATTCTTTCAACACCCTCACCACTATGTCCGGTGGCAACGGGTGCGTTGATTGCAGTCCCCAGTTGCATGCCAGCCCCGAGCCACCCTTGGCCAACTCCACGTACCCTAAAACGCAAAGAAAAATGAACAAAAACGATTGGATTTGACCCATTTTTGGAAACGATAATCAAAACCCGAGTCTGTGTTCTTCTTTAGGGTTTATTTACATGTGCTTCTGTACGCAGCAGTTTGGAGAAAAATGTGCTTTTACCAATGGGAAAAGAAAGGGAAAGAATTTGCATGAAATACTCAGCACGGAACTGAATTCCAAGGGAAAACTCACATTTGATTTGAATCTTCGGTTGATCACCAGATATCCCTCGACTATAGAGTGAATTCTAACTTAGTCCCTGATCTTTAAAAACGTTCGAATCGAATCCTTGAGCCAAAGTGTTGCTCCAATAAAGTCACCCTATCTATCTAGCTATGTTTTAGCATCAAATGCTACATTGAATCCGACATATTTAAGATTACTTATTAATTTATACATGTCAGCTTTAAGCTATCATTTACCGTTTAAATTGATGATTAGATTGATGAATGACGTAATTAAAAGTCATTTAACGAAAGCCTAAGTATCACTTAAAAAAACAACCCATGGACAGAGGTTTTGTAAAGTAAGAAAGGTGTAGAGTGAGAATGGTGGAGATGATTACGTGTAGAGAGATATTCCAGCACAAAAGGAATGTTGAGCCAACTTCCAAACTAGGGTATGTGTTTGGTCTATAAAGGTTTCATCTTTCATGGAAAGTCTCTTTTCGGATGCTTCACTTTGTTACATTCACGACCTTGATATTTTGTTCATTTGAAATTTGTATAATTTTATAATTTACATGTTTTCTTTTTTAAAAACAAATCTCGAATTTCTCATTAACTTTGATTTCGTGTACAATAAAGTATATGAATTTTGCCTTGGTATAATAAATTGATTTTGGTCACATACACATGAAAATTTGATTTCAACTTTGAACAAGTCATTTCTAAGTCTAATGTATGTTGGATTTTAGTTAATTGCGCTATACACCCCTAAACTATGATCTTCATTTTAAATTGGTTCTTACACTTTTGAACACTTTAATTTTATCGCCAAAATATGACTCGTTTCAAATGATCCCCAAAATTTTGAGAATTCCAAATTCATTCTCAAACTATGACCTTTATTTTAAATTAGTCCCTAAACTTTTAAACATTTCAATAACGTCCCCCAAAATCATTCAAAGTTTATGGATATAATTGGAATGTTCAAAAGTTTAGGGACCAGTTTGAATGAAGGTCATAGTTTGAGGATGAATTGAAAATGTTTAAAAGTTTGAGGATCATTTTAGAAAGAGTCATAATTTGGGGATAAAACTGAAATGTTCAAAAGTTCAAGAGATCAATTTAGAATGAAGATCATAGTATGAGGATATGTAGTACCATTAACTCTTTTATATTATAATAAACTTTTTTATCTATTTTAAAAACTCGAGTCTAAAATACGCTATAATATATAGATTTGTGCAATACTTTTATCTAATATTGGAAGTTGATAAAAATGAGTTTTGTTTTCTCTAAAAGTTATATATTTGAGTAATTATGTTTGTATGATTGTATACGTTATTAATTATTAAAAAAATATGAACAAATAAGATTTTTTTAATCACCTCAAATTATTAAAAAATACTAAATATTAGAGTTAAAAGTGGGCCAAAAACTTCACGACCCAAGCTTTGGATTCCAAAGGTACTAAACTTCAAAAACCCAAACTTAAGCAAAGCTGATGTTCGCCCCAAATGGCCATTGCCAGCTTAAATTTCTAAACTAAATCTAATGCTGACTCGTGGCCTAGTGATCAGCATATATTTTCCCTATTGGCTCATTTTATTTCTCTCCAAAATTTAGTGGCTTTGCACCCAGTTTCCTCGCAGACTGGTTCTTCATAGATTTTATCTCCGCGAACATTTTACAAAGCACACAATGGAGTTAGCTACCTCTTCAATCTCTGGCGCACAACTAAGCTTGCTTTGCCCGAAGAATCTCACACCCTCGACTCCCCACTCTTACAAGTATCGTAAAAGAACCAATTTTCCGAACGTTCACTCTCTGGTTGTTCCCCGGCCGTTTTCCAATGGCTTTATTTGCCAAGGAAGCAGCTTTGGGTTCATTAATAACGCTCCCTCCATGCCAAATTTCAATAATAACACCCCTAATAGGATTTACAAAAGGTTGGATTCTTGTTTGATCATATCCCCATCCGGGAACAAGAAGCCACGTGCAATTATCAAGTTCTTGGGCGGTGCTTTCCTCGGAGCTGTCCCCGAAGTTACTTATAGGTACCCATTTTGGTGTTTTTTCCCCATTGTGGAGTAAAAAATAAGGTCCCTTTGCTGATTTTGGGTTTGTGTTTTGTTTCTTTAGTTACCTGGTTGAGCTTTTGGCCAAGGAAGGATTTTTTATTATATCGGTGCCGTACAATGTTACATTTGATCATGAGCGAGCTGCTAATCAAGTATACGAGAGGTTCAATGCTTGCTTGGACAATATTCTTGCTTTTGGATACCCAGATGCTAATCTTACTCCTGCTGATCTTGTTGACCTTCCAATTTTCTCAGTTGGTCACAGGTAAGTATTTCTATGTGTTTTTTCTTTTAATTTTAATGTTTATTTAGTAAGCCAAGTTTTTTTATGTATATGAAAAATGCAGCAATGGTGCTCTTCTTCAAGTACTCACAGGAAGTTATTTCTCTGAGAATATACCAAAGGTTTGTTTTTTTTTTCATCATCTTTTTTCAGCCTTTGAAGCTTTCTTTGTTGGTTGCAGTTTTGAAGGAGTTGATTTTACATTTAGTTTTTGTAGGCAAAATATAGATTTATGAAGTTTTAGATAGTGTAAATTATTATTAGGTTCAGTAGTTCCTGGAGTGTGACAAAGAATGTTATCTCTTGTGAAAGGCTAATGCCATAATCTCATACAACAACAAGTCAGCGACAGAGGCGGTGCCATACTTTGAGCAGGTAATAATCTTTATTTTATGAAAAGCTCGCATATTGATTACACTTACCTTAGGGTATATGTTCAATCTTCTTGCCTTAGACTAGCTTGAATTTATTAGTTTTTTTATTATTATTATCTTCAATGGTTTTTTACTTTATTAGCTATATGAATCTAGTTGATTTCCTTAATAAATTGCGTGTGCAAAAGATGATTGAAGTTATTGAATATTATCAGGTTTATTAGAAACAGAGCTTTTTTTGGGAAAAATATTAGCTATAATGTACTCATTAATGAGACTGGTTTTCTTGGGATCAGCTAAAGTTATTTGTGATGCTCCATCAAGTGTCTCATATTATTAACGAGGCTGGTTTTCTTGGGATCATCCTGAGATGTATGATGTTGTTTATAAGTTTGCACTCACAGTGACTGTATGAATCTCATTAGTTGTTGCCGTGGCATGTTAGTCTAATGAACCATTTGACGGTAAACATGGTGATCGTGATTTGCAGTTGGGTCCTCTAGTGAGGCAGATGATGCCAATGGTAGAATCATCTCCTGTGTATGCAATGGCTAGGAGTGTTTCAGGTAAATTACATCCTAACTCTTGCTCACCGACTTTTGCTAATGTATTATTTATTTGGTGCCATTCTGCAACTTTTTTCTTTTCTTTTGGAATAATGGAATTATGTCTTCTAGTGTTGGTATAACCGGGACAAATTCAAAATATATCCTGATTTTATGATGCATATCATTCTTAATCTACGCCTTATCCTTTGTATGCCTAAATAATATGCGCATTTTGGATGTACTTTTTTCATCGCAAACACTGCAGATGATGCATGGAAGATGTTTATTGACATGGCTGGATCAATGATACCTGAAAGAGACCAAGAAGCCCTAGTCTCGTTCACCAAATTTGTGGATCAATTGCCTTTCGTTTTTGGTCAGGTACGTATCTTTCCATTACGAATATGTTTCCATGTTTTGCCTATTCTAGTGGATGAATTTGAGCAAATACAATTGCATGTACAAGAATGAGGATAATCAATAATGCCGATTTGCTAGTCCGCATAGATTCCCCTAAACTGTTGTACTCTAGTTCTTCACTTTGGCTTTGTAATCTTGTTTCTTTTATAGGTCACTGAAGGGATATCAGAGTTCAGGCCAACACCTTCCGAGAACCGTGAATGTTGCAAGAACAAATACAACGTTCAACACACACTACTGGTATATATTTGTGCTCTCTATTTTGTTAATTAGATAATGTAAGTTGCTTTTCTGTTTATTCTTGTGAATCTCCTTTTCGTAGGTGAAGTTCAACTCGGACACAATTGATGAAACTGATCTCCTTGAAGAGACATTAAAGCCTCGCGTGGACTCTATTGGTGGGACGCTCGAAAAGGTCCAATTAAGTGGCAACCATATAACACCATGTGTGCCGGTATGACATGCAAAGCTCATCTTTTTCTGCCTCCCTTTGTTCAACCTTCTGCCCTTCACTTTCTATATGCATTTTGCTGTGTGGAGAGCATTGGTAATACTGAGTTTCCATGTTTACAACGAGAGGCATCTTGAACTTATATGTTCAATTTATTTTGCTTGATCAGGAACCGAAATGGCAAGCGGGTTATGTATACACTCCGGCAGATGCTATTGCTCAGGGACTTAAGACCCTTTCACTGAGTGAAACCAAAGTGCTCTCTAGAACAATTTCTGATTGGTTCAGACGTTTTGAAGAGTAACTGCTGAAATTCGATAGTAAGTTGAGTCGGTGCAGGCATACAGTTTATTGAAAGCACAACGAGATTATCGAAGAACAAGGACTTGAAAATTAGATAGCTCCATGTGTATAGTAAAGCTCAATGAGCTTTCATATGTACCAACAAAGGAAAAATAGGAATTGAACTTTAGACTACAAACGGATCAAATAAGAATATAAAATGCCCACCTAAGAGCTCCTTTTATCTGATCTACTTTTCTTGCTTGAACGTACATAGTATGAATTCTATTAGTCAATTCGGTTCTAGGTCGATTCCTAATCCATGAAATCAATGGAAAAAAATACTTCTTTAGCTCGTGAATGTTATTTCTAAAGGCATATATACTGGTGTATGATAACTACTTTCCTTTTTACTTGAATTATCGCCCTCTTAACAGCTATTTTTCTGAACTCTCGGGAGGATGTGTTCCAAAAAGGCTATGATCTTTTAAATTAACTCGGTTGATGCGCTAGTTGGAGAAGACATTTAAGTTTGACTATTTCTTTTTATTTGGTACTTCGGCGTACTTTATTCTGGTGAACTTCGATATACATCATGTTAAATGACTGATGCTCTCTTATCAAACAAACCTAGGCATGCTTTCTGTGCTACCTTTGACCAGTGTGTGTATATTTAAGATTTACAAGGCCTTTCAGACAATGCTATGACTGAGGGTGCTATCGAATTAGTCATTAATTGTTGCCCTAGGAATGATCTGCACATTTATAGAACTTCCTGAAAATGGGATGAACTTGATGAACAAAGTCTCTTTTGTTGCTTTAATAATGATCTCTTTATATTTGTCGGAAGTTACAATTTTCAGCTTGATTTTAACCGGATTCTTGCGGGAAGAAGCTGTAAGTTGCATAACTAAAAACAAAGCTCAAGTTTATTCATGCATGAAACTGAAAAGAACAAAGACAGGTTACAATATAAAGACCACCCTGTTACAAAAATTGGCCTCTTGGTTAAGGAAAAAGGAAAGAAACAATTGATCACTGTAATTTATGATTTTATCGTTGGTGGCATTTATAACACAACTAAAGCGGCCTATGCAGCAGCCTTCACTTTCTCGATCAAGTCTGCGGCGTCTTGGACGGTTGCAATGTTCTCAGCTCCGCCTTCTCCGACTGAAACTCCGAATTGTTCCTCCAATGCCATCATAATCTCCACCTGAAATGAATCCGATTCGAAACATTGGCAGTTAGGTTTGTTTTCTGATAGGATATCAATAATATAACATCCAAGGGATTCAAAGAATCTTCGATGTGAAAGTAAAGAGCTAGGATATAACGAACTGTGTCAAGGGAATCAGCACCCAGATCAGCAAACTTGGTTTCAGGAGTGACTGAGCTCACATCAATTGACAATTGCTTAGCAATGGTGGTTTGGACAGTTTTCAATGTCTCGGGATCGGCCTAGTTGAAAACATCCGATATGTATCAAGACGAGCTTTAAACAAAGTTGTAATGAGAAAAAGAAAACATAATGCAAGGTTCTTACAAGAGAGCATGAAACTGGTGTCTTGAAGCAGCTAGATCGAGTAGGCAACTTGTTTGTCTTCGAGAATTGAATCTTTGGAATGAGCTTTAATCTGTTACATATAACGGGAACTCCCTGCAATAAAAAAAACGTGATCCGATTCAATCCGTCACGATTCACATTGTATTTCAATTCCAACAGGGGTGATTGCTTACAGTGGTGGTGAAGCTTCTGTGCTGAGAAATGGATCCCCTGGCTATGGGAATTGTTGCAGGGATTGAAGCAAAAGCAGCCATTGGAAGCTTGATTGAGATCGTTTAGCAGAATTGAATTGATGAAGGGCTTAAAGATTGTAGATATAAATAGAGATTTGATGAAGATGTCCGGGGAGTTGCATGAAGATTTGATGATGATCCCAATGTATTGGTTTTGTTTTTCTTTAATGTGTTGTAGAATAGGGCGGTGGCTTCCATGGATGTTTAATGTCTGCTTATGGTTTGCCAGCAGCCAAGTAGTTTGGACTTAACGTGATAGTAATATGAGCTTCGGTTGAAGGTGGAGATTGCTGTAAATGGTTTGGAGTGGTTGGAACAGCTGTGTTGTTGGGTATACGTTTTGTCAATAATTAAGAAAGATTTTAAACAGATACTACATTGTAATCCCCTTCTCCCATATTTGTGGAGGATAACATACGTCAATATCAACTATAAAGAGAGGAGTTTGCTTCTTTTCCTCTACCATTAACGTACTAATGTATTTGTCCAGTATCAACATTTTTCTTTGTATTTTCTCATCTTTTAATTTTGGTCTTCTTCTAGTTTTACAGTTACGTTTCCTCTTTCCTGGAAAATTCGCATTTAATATATTTATATACTTGCATATATTTTGACAAGTGATATCCTATATTATATATATATATTGTGAAAAGTATCAAAATTAAGTAATATATATATATATACATTATTTAATTATTTAGTACTTAAGTTTTTAGTTGATTAGAACTAATTAAGTGATCTTAGTAGTAAAAGAGTATTATTCTCTTTAGAGATTATGGGTTCGAACAGTTACTTTTATAGTGTGTACGCGTTGTCAATGACTACAAAAGATATTTTGAATAGATACTACTTGTTAATCACCCGTAATCCAAAAGTTAATGTATTTCATATCTTTTTCATTAATTCTCAGCAAATAATTTAGATAAAACATTTTCTCATATGATCACCACAACAAAAGGTGCATGAATTGCTTTATTCTTTATAGCTTTAGCCTAATCTCTGTTAAATCTTTTATTTATCTTCTCCATAATCTTGACTGTTGTAAGGAGCAAAAGCTTCCAACAACCAATTGTTCTTCCTCCAAGATTTCCACCCCATCTCTTCACAAATCTCATCACTGTGATAAATACTAAATGTCGAAATGCAATGCCTCTTGTAGAATCGAGTTGTTTTCTTCATGATCTCCATTTCTTCCCCCGTTTGTTCAAGCATTTTCCCGATGCTCGGGAGCTTGAACATCCCATCGACGAGCCTCGCCAGCCATTTGCACCTCAGCTCAGCCGTGTGAAGGTTTGCGACGCTCTCGATGTACCCCACGAACGCCATGTTCGGTATCAAAGGATGGATGGTTCCCCTATATAACGGCATGATTCCCGACGAGTCCGATATGAGACTCGAGAAAGGGTGCGGCAGTAAATCGTGAATCTTCTTTTTACCGTCAAAACCAGTGGCGAGTAGCACGACGTCGGCTTCGATCTTGGTGTCATCTTCGATTTCAAGTCCTTTGTTCCAAAACCACCACTTGGGTGTTTTCTTGAACACGATCTTTCCCTTGTCTGCCTCAGAGAAGAAATTTTCGGGAAGGATGGCCATTTGGCAAGATGCATAATCTTCTTCAAATGGATGTTCTGGTTTTAGTCCATATTTCTCCAATGGTAGCTTCCATACTAAATACGACTCTATGAACTTGGACACTGCTTTTCTCTTCAGTAAAAGAAAAAAAGCAAAGTAATTATGATTCGGATTAAAGTTTGAGGACTCAAAAAAAATGGATTAAAAGTATTACCAGGGGAGACAAAAGAGGACAGAGCAAATTCCTTAGCAGCCCTTGGTTTGGCCTTTGATGGAGAAACTGAGAAGATCTTGTTGAATAAAACAGCGAAAAGGGCAGACCCCAAATCCAGTAAGCTGGGACCGTCCAATGTAATGTCCTTATCACCATTGTACAAGGCTGACCATCTGCTCCTGTTTTTTTTTTTAACAAAAATGAAATAAAATCACGTTGCGTTATTATGGAAACAAGTCCTCAATGTCTAGCATGCATTTTAGGACTATTTCCGAATCAATCATACATAATAATTTTATAGTTTTTATTCTTATAATCCTACTCGGCTCGACCAGATTAATCTCTACTTAAATTATTAAACATATATGTGTATGTATATATACCTTGGTTTGCCTCCGCACATTCAGTAGCTAAATCAATGGCGGATTTCTTGTAGCCAACAACAGCGACTCTCTTGCCTTTTAACAACTCTCGGGCGGCTTCTTCATCCAGCTTAGAATACTCGATGGTGTGCATCACTTTGCCACTGTAAATTTCTTGGCCTTTATTCGGAGGGAAAACCGGCATTCTCGGTACGTCGCCGTATTTGCCTATGCATACCACCAGTAATTCGAACTCATACCACTGCATGCACCATAATATTATTCCGTCAATTTCACAAGTAATCAACAATTTCGAATAAGAGATACGACATGTTTTTAAAGGAACAACCTCAACAGTCTTCGATGGATGTGTCTCCACAGCGACTTCCCATACAGGATGGCCACTCAGAAGAGGTCCGAACTCTCCAGGACCAGCCGCCATCGCATCGATATTCATCGTTTGTCCGGTGCTAACGTAACGAATCTCGATGACCCTTGAATTGAACCTCACGTGCTTCAGCACATCAAAGTGCGTAGCGTAACCGTGCAAGTACTCTAGGATCTCAAGGTGAGTAGGGAAACTGGAATTATCCCTTTCCGGCCAGGGATAATCCGAGAACTCGAAATCGCATCGAGGGGTTTGGAGCTTAGTGGAAGCAAATGAACAATGTTTCCAAACGCCACCTATCGAATCGGTTGCCTCGAGAACAATGGGATTGTGATGGGAGAGCTGCTTAGCAGCAGCTATGCCGCTGATACCAGCCCCAATGATCCCAACTCTCGATGGTTTACGGTAGCCAATTCGCTCACAAGCCATTTTTGTATAGGCGTATAGCTATGAACGAGTAAACGGGATTGTATTGGTGTGCCCAAAATGAGAGGCTAGCTAACTATTTATAGGGGGGAAATGATTTATTTTATGAGATTTCCTTGTAATTTGGTACGTCTAATAATTTTATTAACCAACTATATAGTTTAATCTTCTAATTATGAGTCACGAATGATGAAATTTGGTATTAATTTTAATAGATTAGTTAGCAAATGAGGGATTTGAATTCTTGTGTTCCCACTAGGGATGGTCATAAATTAGTCTAGGTTTTTGGTCCATCTGAATCTGATTTGAAATTTATGCCTCTACATTTGTATTTGATTTGACCTGAATTTAAGAGAGTTTCACTTGATTCGAAATCTGATTAAAATTTTGAGGTAAAAACTCGTACTCAACCCGACACACACATATATAGGTATATACATATATATCATTTTTATTAGATAGAATAATGACCTAATTAAAAATTAACATAAAGAGAGATATTATTACAATTATCCCTAAATATATAAGGGATAATTATAATGTTATATTGGATCGACCAACAGTTTTTCACTTGAACCTTACTCAATCAGAGTGGACTGATTCAAAATTCATCAAGTTTGGATCAAATGTTCATCTCTTATTTCCATACACATGAATTTATATATGACCTTAAAACAGTGTGTTATTTTTTTAAATCTCAGTCTGATCGAATCAAATTAAACCCATTGTAACCGGATCAAAGTTCCATATATAATTGCTACATGCATGAATTTATGCATGACCTTGGAACCATGTGTTGTGAGTTGAAGTCAATGCATAAAAAATTACTTTTAGTTTTGATCATAGAGAGACAATGGTCTAACTTGATTAACTAATGTGAACAATCAAGTGTTTTCCCTTGTACTGACCATAAAGATGCTTCATTAATTAGCCGGTTGACATTAAATAAATATGCAACAACATTTTATTCTTCCTCAACAGTGTACATGGAATTGACTTTGTGTAGGAGGTAAACGTTTGATATAATTATAGTTTCAATTAGTAAATTTAAAATTAACAAATCAACTTTTCAAAATAATATAATCATTATAAGTAACAACGTAAGCGCTTTTCAATTTACAAGGATATATTATTTGACTTCATACTTACAATAATATATATAGAAATTATATTAATGGTCAATTAGATATGAATATGGACCCGAATATGATGGATTTCGATCGGATTTGATAAGATAATTCTTTTATTCATTGTTGGGCCGGGTTGAGTTGTTTTAAGGGATAATATCAGATTCAAGTTTAAGGTAAAAAATCTTTGATTAGATCCAAATCTCTAAGATAATAGTAGGAGGGAAAAGTGAAGATGGTCATGGAACCATGCACATTTGTCAATGTGGAAATTTTCACGAGTCGACTCACTTTTTCTTTGGTTACACAATTTTGTAGTTGCAATCCACACTTCCGTCTCAAAAACAACTTTTTTTTTCTTTGATTTTGTGGAACAATTTTCATGCCTTTTTTGATTTATTATACTTAGAAGGGTATAATTTAGACCAAAACAAAAGCCAGCAGTTTGCATGCATGAAGAAAATGATGTTCATTGCTTCCTTCCCTTCTTCTTCTTCTTTATTATTTTTAGGTCAAATTATGATTTCCGTCCTCGTATAATGTTTGATTTAATATTTAATCCCTATATTTGTGACTCAGACATAAGTTGGTCCTTTTAAATAGACTATATTATAATACAAGGAAGACAAGGAGAAATCGAGGCATGTGGTAATTGTCAAAACAGCAGTTTCCTAGCAACAACACAGTGCCTTGATTTGGTGCGTGTTTGTTCACAAAGTCAAATGCTTTCTTATTAGTTGAAAAGCACAGAGTATTAATATTTGGAGTTGGGAATGGTCATTGAACAATGATGATTTAGAAATTTAAGAATGAGAATCTAAAATTTTAATTTTTTTTTTAAAATAATGGATATGTAAAAAATTTATTTTTTTTCTTTTTTCTTTAACACATTAAATTAAATTTAACCAATTTTCTAAAATAATGTGATACACTTAACCTTTATCGGGACTTAGTGCATCCGCCACTATCATGGAAGGAGACAGAAGATGGAGACTAAAGAGGATGACAGAGACAATTATTATGTGTTAAATTTTTTGTTGTGTTTGTACACGTATCCAAAGATGGTTAAGATTGTCAAGAGAATTTATTACCATCTTTAGTGCCACCACTGTCTGCATGCATGCACGGTCCATTTTAAATCTCTTCTTTTCTCTCTTTTTCTCCGACAACGACGTGCATTTGGGGGTCCTTAATTGCCATCCAACCAACCAAGGGGTAAAATTAGAGTGGTTTGAATATTATATATATAGTGTAATATAATTATATTATGTAAAAAATTAATTTAATATATATATAGGTTTATTGGGTGAATATAAATTGATTGAGAATAAAAATTAAAAGAGCAGAATTTTACGAGTAAACAAAAAGAGAGGGTAATGTGAATATACAATGTTTTAATTTCAACCATTAATTTATATCTTTACGATGATCTTAAAGCTGTGCAAAAATTAAGAACTTTACACAATGTAAATGGATCTTAACCTTATAGAAAATATTATTTAGACCGATCACATAATTTTCATTTCTTTTTTAAAAAAAGCATTAATTTATAAAATTTAAAGGTGTATTGAAGCCCCGAATTAAAAAAATAAATTCTTAAATACTTTTTGCATCCAATTAAAATCTTAAATCAATAAATTAAATCATCAAATTGAGAAATAGATTAATTAAGCTCTTTGGTCAAATTTGAACATTAAGTATCGACAATTTTTTCGAGGGTATTATTGTCGAGTGTCATAGTGTGGTTTTGTTGGGTTAAATTTGTAAATTTTTAAATAAATTTTTTAAATTTTTATTAATAAATTTCAAGAAATACGATTGGAAAACACCGTGACGCGATATGTGAAGCTAATTGATCCGAAATATAAACACTAGATTTAACATCCACGTAGATTAAAAGTATGAATTGATGAAATTTAAAAAAAAATAAAGACTTAATTGGATGTATAAAAATTTTGAAATTGGATTAATAATTTCAAAAATTCAAAGACTTCCAAGACACTTAAATCATTTATAAGTAGCATCCGATAAACAATTACCAATGGACTTCTCAACAATGCCAATGTTATTCTTTCAAGATCTCTATGTTTCGTTTTATCATTTGGATTCTGTTCCTATAAAAGCATATTAAAATGCAAATATATAAAGTAAAGGTGTCTCATCCATTAATTTCACCATTTATCCGTTCTAATTAAAGATGTCTCGTAATAATAATTTAAAATTTTTAATCTATTTAGTTCATACTTTAAAAATTCGTGATGCGATGAAAATCTAAAGTGGATGGAAATGAAACATGATCCAGTTATTGGCTAAATTTCTTACCGTTACACCATCACCTTCAAGTCAGAGATCTTCTGCTTTCACTTCACTGTAAATGTTATCCATTGGTGAATTGAGTTTTTTTGTTCAATCTGAAAGGAAAATTGGATCGCAGTTTAATGGCACGTAAAGGCTTATTCATAATCATGAAAGCTTTCTTTTATACCTCATCTGAAATTTTCCTGCTGTCAATTATTTTTTTGTAATTCTTCAAAGTTTTTAGAATCTTTTATTCCTCGAAATTTGTTATCAATCCTTCACATACCACTAATAGAGTCGTGTAATCTATTAACTAAATCTGTTTATTTTGTCAATCTATAAATAATCATCGTTATCTTAGATCTGACATCAACACTAAAGGTATGTATATAAGTCATCAGGAGAGATAAAAATACTCTCTCTCCACCAACTATAACTCTCTACTCAAATTAAAATAGATGAACCACCAAAAAACCGTCGCAAACCGTTATTTTTTTGCCCTCAACGCTTTCCGTAAGATAATAATAAGATTGACTTGTAAGAAATGTTTAAACTTGATGTAAACTAGCAAGTAAGGGAGAGAGAGAGAAATTACTCACTGTAAAAAAAAGACAGATCCCCGGTTGAAGGAAAGCTCATGCTATTCATACCAAGAACCACCAATCAGTTTCAGTCACAGGAAGCTCGCAAATCATGAGCTCAGAAGAGAAGAGAGCTTAAAGGGCCCAGGACTTGAACTGTGAGATCTTCACATTTTTTACATCAAATGCATATCAACTTACTAAGCTGTTAGCTCATTTTCGACATGTAATTTATGGTTGCAAGATAACAGCTAAAAGACCAGAGAGTAAAACACTTGCAAACAGTTACCAAGATTTCAATAAGCTTTGCTTAAATTTTCTTCATTTAAAGTAATGACAACTTTGGACTATCAAACATAACTAAATGTGCAAAAGAAAATAACCTCAAGTTGTATCATTGGTGGCTCTGTATTCATTGCCAACATGAGAAATCTCCAACTCATCATCATTACTTAGTGAAACAACCTCTAAACTATCCATGATTTCCTCTTCCTCAAAATCCGCACATATATTCTCAATCTCAGTATCACCCTCAATTAGATCCCTTTCCTCCATGTCTGACAGGTCACTGAAAGTAGGGATCTTTTTCTTCTTTCCTCTATAACCGACAAAGCTCAAGACCTTGTCCTTCCATACCACCAACGGGCATTTCTCAATCAGCTCCGAACCTTCATAAGCTTCAGTCAAGAAAACACTAAATCTCTTCCCCCTTTCAGAAACATAAAAGATGCCAAAATGCTTCAAAAGAAGCCTCATCAACTTCTGTGGCATCACAAGCTCCCGTCGGAAATGAGTGAGATGGTCAGTCACCAATCTCTTTTCGATACTAAAGCTAAGTAACTCATGCATAATAGCAACCGCTCTCTTATCAAATTCCAACGACCCTGCTTTCAGCTCCCTAGCATCTGCATAGGGAGAAAAATAAGACCTTTTCTGAAAATGATCGATCTTCCCTCCATATCTATACACCTTCTTGTAGTTAGAAGGGAATTTCAAAGGAAAAGACAATGAAAGCACACCCGGTTCACGTCCAATCCCATCGTTCAAACCCAATGCTTTCTTCTCCAACTCTGTAATAGCCCAAGCAGGATTCCAATTTACAAGCTCCAAAATCTCAACTCCATCTTTAGATTTTACAACTCTAAAATGTTGTGGATACTGATTCACCCACTTGTTCCTAAAATCAATTGGCAAACCAAAATCTCTCCTAAAATGAGAAATCTTATCTAACTGAATCCGTTTATCGACCGACATCATTAGAATCCTAGTAACATACTCTACACCTTTGATCGATTGTTCCTCAACCAACATTTCCTCTTCTTCCATCAAATCCTCAGCTTCTTTAGTCATTCCACACCATAGGGTTCCCCTTTGATCCTTATATAATTCGAACAACTTGGGACATTTCTCGATGAAATCGGTTATTTTATGGGGTTTCGGTATATTAATTTGCTTCCTGTATTGATACAAAGACCTCACGGGGATAACCATCTCGGTTTCTTTCTTTATAACTTCCATCAAAAACAAAACCTTTGACAATATTTTCCATTTCTCTTTTACAATTTCGAGATGGTGAATTCGTTTGTACTTGCTACGGTCTTGGACTCGTCTACTGGAAGTCATTGGTCTGATTTGAAACCACCCAAATAAGGTTTGTTGGTAACAGCTTCTTCTCAGGGACAAAAGGTCAAACACTTGGTGGTGGGTTGAATGTAGCCGCTGGATATTGACGAATTTATCCAATAACACTTGGTTTATAATAAACTGGATGGCCATTTCTTAAGCCTTATTGCTTTTTCAAGCTTACCGGGAGTATGGTCTGACTACAAAAATAAGTCAGTGAGGAATTGGCGGGTTTTCTTTCACATTGTTTTATGACTGAATAAATAGAAAAAATGGGAATGGACCAAGTCAAGCTAGAGGGATTGAGACACGGCGGCGAAGGCAGCAGATAGGTACGTCGGAACAGATAACCGACGGCGGCGATCAAAATGTTGCGGAGGCAGCAGCGGTTATCATTAATTCGTCCGAGGAAATGGCGGCCTGAAAGATTTAGAGGGTCTTCTGTTGGAATTAAATTTTTTATTATTTATACTTTATGTGTGTACTATTTTGTCTAATTATAAATTTCATCCTCCATCCTTCTACTTTTTGAAAATTAAGAAATTAACTTTTTATTTTAATTTATAATAATTCAATATTTATATATAAAAATAAAAAATTATTCATTCGAAAATACATCAACTTTATATCTTCATTCAACGGTTGAATTTATCACCAAATCAATTCCTCATTACATAAGTTGGTTATGATTATAATATGAACAAATTTTAATTCGAAAAATAATTTTTTAAAAAAATTGAATTATTTAAATCAATTTAAATTTTAAATTTAGATTTAATTCGAATCAAGTTTAAAATAATAAAACTTAAATAATTAAAAATTGTGAACATTAAAACGATATTATTTTTATCTTTAATTCAATTACTTTTTGCCGTACAAATTTTCTTTCTTTTAATTTATTCTCTCATCTTCACATTATTCTTCAATTCTTCTTTTATTTTAAAATTTTTGAATTAAATTTTAATGATGTATTCATCTATCATCATAAAACGCTTATGTAACTTTAATATATATATTTTACAATAAATTTCATCGACTATGTTAAGAGAAACAAGCCATTGGATGCAATGTATTTGAGGTGAAATCGGATTGGCCCGCACACTCGGCTAAGCTAAAATCAAAGGCAATAAACGTTTAAATAAAGAAGACTTTTCTTCTTCAACATGTTTTAACCGAGTAAATATATATATATATATATATATATATATATCGAAGTTAAGACGTTGTTTGTTTGCCTCTTAATGGAATCATTCAGCGCTGAATGCGGAACCGTTCAGTGCTGAATGTTGAACCGTTCAGTGCTGAATGCTGAATCATTCAGTGCTGAATGCTGAACCGTTCAACATTCAGCGCGTTTGTTTCGTACCTCTGAATGATTCAGTACTGACTGATTCAGCAAAATAGTACTGAATGATTTAGCAAAACAGTGCTGGATGATTTAGCACAGAAGTACATTCTGAATGATTCAGAGTCATTATCAAACAACATGTCACATTCAGAATTAATTCATACAGAGCCTCTGAATCATTCAGCATTTGAATCATTCAACGCTTAATCATTCTGAAGTAAACAAAAAACCCCTAAGTTTGGCCTCTATCTAATATATATATATATATATAAATATAAATATATATTGGATTTTCTTTAAATCATTATCCATTTAATTTATCATGTTTATTTTAAAATTTTATTTGTATTTATATTGTACAAAAAATATATGTCATTAATATATGTGTGTATACTTTAAAAAGTATTATCGAATATCTGCTACTAGATTTAATACCTATCTCTCACCCTAACCCCAATCACTAAGTATAAATTTGACAGTCAATCCTAATTTTAATAATTGTCTTAGTCTATAACTATCCGCATAAACAAAAAATGGTGCAGGATAACGATTTTCTCTAGGTGCACGTTAGCAAATTTAATGAGATGGGAGATTATCGTTGGTAATATGGTGGGTCTTGATCGAAATTTCTTTATGTTTCTTTCTTCTTCGTTAGGTTTTATTCTTAGATTCGATTCATGAGTACTTCGTCAAAAATTGATTGGAAGAATTTATTTGCAACAGTTGCGGAGCAGGCACTAGATTATTATCCTCCGGCTACTAGTAAGGGTATTACGACGGTTCAACCTCCGTTGAAAGTCCTTGAGGATGACATTGATGATTGGAAGTTTGCTTTAGTGGGTTAGTTCATCGGGTCTGCCCCGAATTTTTCCTCCATACAATGATTGATTGATATGCTTTAGGGGAAACTCTTGGCAGTTAAGGTAAGTCTAGCTTAATAGAATCTTTATGTTTTTTCCTTCCCTAATATGGATGATAGGGATAGGGTTTTCGAAGGGGACCTTGGCACATTCAGAATAAGCCGCTGATCCTTATGAAGTGGGAGCCAGACATGCAGAAACTTGATTTTGATTTGTCGAATATGCCAATTTGGCATCTTTACAATGTTCTTTAGAATTGTACATTAGGAAGAGATTGAGTTATGTCGTGAGTGCTTTAAGTAATCCATTATATATGGATTATGTTATAGCTTCGAAGGGGATGTTGGAATTTACGAAAGTATGTGTTGAAGTGGAGGTGGTAATTGTGGTGCCTCGCTTTGTGAATATTGTTTTGAGTGAGGGAGTAATTGTTTCTGTCAGAGCGTTATTCCTTAGATGCCTCCATGTTATCTTTCTTGTAAATCATTTGGGCATAGTGATTGAACTTGTGCTGCTAAGCAGAAACAAGTTCAGGAACCTGTCAAGGTGTGGAAGGTTAAGGAGTCTGAGATTATCACTTCTTCTGGTGCTTGCGAGGCAGAGGTGCGTACTCCTGGAGTATTACAGGAGGTTGTTATTTCTACTGTAGAGGAACATGAAGTGATGTAGGTGGTTAATGATGTTATTGCAATTAATCTATATGTGAGTGGACAAATCAATGAGGAATTGGTGAGTGTACAGGGTCTGGAGAAGGTTGGAGATTCTGATTGTAAGCAGAGTTCTCCTTTCATTGAGGATGAAGAGTTGAATAGTATTGGTAAAGGGAAAGGTGTGGCTCAAGGTATGGATGGTTTAATTTCTAATGAGTTTTCTATCTTACATGACTCTTTGATGTATAAAAAGAAGTTGAGGGTAGAGCTAAGGATAAGAAGGGCTTATCGAGATCTTCCAATCGTTTTGAAGTTCTAAATGTTGAGGGTTTGGATGCACCAAGAAAGCCTTATGTGGCATCCTTAGGTGTTACTGCAATTCTAAATTAAATGAAGACTAAGAAGCAATATGATGTTGAGAAAGTTAAATCTAATGCAATGACTCGTGGTTTGGAGGTTGGATTTAGTTTCTTTTAATAATTGTGTGTTTCTGAAACATCAGGGGCTTAATAACCCCTACAAGCAAATGAATGTTATGAAGAGGATGAAACGATTAAAGGTTGATGTTATTTGTTTCATGGAGACTGGATAAGGTTTAGCAATGTGGATATGTGGGCTTCTAGTCTGAATGTTGATTGAATTTTTTGTTATAATTATAATTTTGTTGGTAATGGTAGATTGTGGATTTCTGGATGAATTATTTGCCTTTTTATGTTTTTGACGAGAATGATCAAACCTTGTCTATTGTGGGTAAGATTAGTGGTTGTCGTACTATTATCAAAACTGTGTATGATAACAATAACAATATGATTAGAATGGGTCTATGGAATCAACTTCATGATTTGTAGTATGCTATTGGTTTTTCCCATTGGCTCATTGGTGGAGATTTCAATGTGGTTGCTCGTGTAAAGGAGAATTTGGATTTTGAGGTTATTGGGCCTCATTTTAATGCTAATATGAATGGTTTTATGAGTTTTATGGAACATTTGGGTCTTGTTGATCATTCTTTCTCAGTGCATGTGTTTACTTGGACAAATAAGCAAGATGAAGGTTTCTTGGCGAGGAAGTTGGGTCGGGTTAGTTAACCATGATTGGATACAGAAGTTTGTTGATTCTTATGTTGAATTTCAGGTGCAATGGGTGTCTAATCACTGTCCTGCTCTGGTTTTGGATCATAAGGATAATCAAGCTACTAGACCTAAACCTTTTAAATTCTTCAATTTTTGGACTGCTAATGTTAAGGTTGTTGATGTTGGTCGATCCTCGTGGAAAAATGAGGTGACTAAGAATGCCATGCAATAGTTTTTTTTTTAAATGAAGAGATTAAAGTCTGTGTTGAGAGATCTTAACAAAAAGGTACTATGTTAACATTTCAATAAAGTTGACTGAGAAACGAGCACAGTTAGAGCAAATCCTAGTTGCTCAATCTCACTCATTTTAATCAAAGAGATGTGGTGAAAGAGAATTAGACTCGTATTGAGTTGTTAAATTTAGAGAATGTTGAAACTTCTTTTTATAAAAAAAATACAAATATTCAATGGCTTAAGGAGGGGATACAAGATCAAAGTTATTTCACTCGATAGTGTTAAAAAAGAGAAAGAAGAATATTATTCGACTACTGAAGACTAAGGAAAAGGCTCGGTTTGAAATATTTGATGAGATGTCTGTTGAAATGATTAAGATTTTTATTGATCTTATTAAGACTTCTGATTCTGTTGTTTTTTTGTCTCATGGTTGATCAGTTGAAAGATATGTTGTAGTATGCTTTACCTTCTGGAGCTGTAGATGATTTGGTGATTAAGATTACTGTGATGAAATCAAGAATGCTTTGTTCAAACAAGGTAATGACAAGAGTCCAGGCCCTGATAGATATACAATATGGTTTTTTAAGGCTGCTTGAGAGATAGTTAAAGTTGATTTTGTTGTTACAGTGAGGTATTTCTTCAATACTTCTTTTTTGCTACTTGCATTCAATGCAACTGCTATTGTGCTTGTGCCTAAGTCCCCTGGTGCTTGTATGGCTAAAGAGTTCAGGCATATTTATTGTTGTTTTGTGGTGTACAAAACTATTACTAGAATTCTAATTTTTAGATTATCAGTTTATTTCCCTAGGATGATTTCTCTCAATCAGTATGTTTTTATTCATGAGAAGTATTTTTGATAATACTCTCTTAGCTCAGGAGATAGTCAGGGGTTATTCTAGGAAATCACTTTTACCTAGATGTACCATTAAAGTTGACTTGTAAAAGGTTTTTGACTCAGTTGATTGGAATTTCATGTGAGTGTTCTTGAAGCTATGGATATGCCAGAGGTGTTTTGTGGTTGAATTAAGGCTTGTGTTACTTCTTCAAGGTTCTCTGTATCCTTAATGGCACCTTGGTGGGGGTTTTTTAAGGGTGATAGAGGGGTAAGATAGGGAGACCCTCTTTTCCCTTACCTTTTTATCTTAGTGATGAATGTCCTATCTAGATTGCTTGATGTGGCTGCTCAGAGTGGGATTTCCAGATTTCATCCTAAGTGCAGGAGACTTCCTCTTATTCATTTGTGTTTTGCATATGATTTACTTATATTCTGTCATGGCTATGCTGACTCAATCATTGGGGTGTTGAGTGTTCTTGCACTTTTACAAGATGTCTGGGTTGAAACTCAATGTGAATAAAACTGATTTTTTGCTTGTAGCCTTAATGATAGTGAGCTTGATGTTATTTAAAGATGTAATTGGGTTTCGTAGAGGGATTTTGCCCATGTGGTCAAGGAATGTTCTTAGTTATGAGGGACAATTGCATTTGATTAAGACTGTTTTATTTAGTATTTCCAACTACTGGTGTAGAGAAGTTTTGCTTCCTAAAAGGGTTATTAGGAAGGTTGAGCAAGTGTGCATGAGGTTTTTTTTTGGAATAGCAATGATGTCCCTAAACAGGGTGCTCGGGTTAGTTGGCAACATGTGTGTTTTTTAAGGTTGAAGGGGATCTGGGGGTTAAAAGTTTGTCATGTTAGAGCAAAACTTGTAGTTTTATGCTTATTAAAAGTATTTTTGGTTGGTGAAGGCTCCTTGTGGATTGCATGGGTAAAAGAATATACATTTAAGGGTGTGAACTATTGGCATGTGGAGTGTAAACCACATTATAGTTGGACTTTAAGGAAATTATTGAATTTGATAGCCAAGGCAATAGAGTTGTTTGGTGTTGATGTTAATTGAGCGGTGATAAGCAACATATGGATTTGGGATAGGTAAGAGATGAAAAGTCTCGTGTGCAATGGCATAGACTGCTTTGGTTTCCTCTCCATGTCCCTAAACACTCAATTATTACTTGGATGATAATTTTGGATAGATTGCCAACAAAAGATAGGCTTGTTCGTATGGGGATAGTTACAGATGGTATGTGTGTTTTGTGTGGTGTTGGCACTAAGACTAGGAATCATCTCTTTATGAAGTGTTCCTTTGCATGTCATATTTTATAATACCCCAAATCTCAGGTCTGTGACTTTATTGAAAATATTTAAAATTTGAGGATTTAGTTGAATAAATGATAAAGGATAAGAAATGATTTGGAATTGGTATTTAAGACCAATTAGTAACAATGAATGAATAAAGAGGGTATTTTGGTCCTTTAAGGGGAAATGAATTTAAATTCATTTCCTTATTAGGGATTTAAGAAGGGGAAAAGGGGAAAGATAAAACAAACAAAATTATCTCTTCTTATTCTTATTCTTCTCGTGTTCACGTGCTCTCCCCATAGCCAATGTACGTTTTCTTTGAGTTAGTTTATTCTTTAGTTTATGGACAAGTTTTGAAACCTTAAGTATTATAGAGGCTTAAGGAAAGTTCAATGATGCTTAAAACTAAGTAATTAGTGAAATATTTGAGATTGAAGGAAGTGGGTTTTTGAATGATATGTTGGTATATGAGTTTTTATTGATGTTTACTAGTATATTTGACTTGTCAAAGATGTAAATAAGAGATTAGAAGAATTGGATGTGATTAAAAACATGTTAGAAAAGTGGTATGATTCTTGGTTTAAGATGTTATTTGGAGATTTTAGATGTTCTAAGAAGCTCAATAAAGGAAAATTAGTTGGGATAAGTAAAGAAAAGTTTAATAGTATTGTTGGAGGTAAAAATAAGGGAATTTGACCAAATTTAGGTAAAAATTGAGCTGAAAATGAAAAATCTGGGTAAGGATATCGGTACTGAAAGAATACCGATATTATTGGTTTAAATTTGGGAAAATCAAATTAACAATATCGATACTGATGCAATTAGTATCGATATTGATGTGGGTATCGATACTATGAGGAAGGTGTCGATACCATAGATTCCAGAATGTATAAATGGTATCGATACTGCAAGGGAGTATCGGTATCATAATAGAGAAGTATTGATACCATAGCAGAGGTACTGATACTATTGAGTCTGAAAAATTAAAATATGACGAATTTTGATAGAATTTGAATATATAATATTACTTTTAAGTATTATTGAAAGTATAAATGTTAGAAAGTATACTAACATTGGTATAAATGTGTACTTAATGGATACTTGTATAGATCATAATCAAGCTTCTGAGTCAAGCAATAAAAAGGGCAAAGATAAAGTTTTTGAATAGCCGGACATCCTCAAAGCATACTAACGAGGCATACCAGGTGGGTGCGTTTATTATGTACATTAAGTGTTATAGTTGCATTTGGTTAAATGCATATGTTGCATTGTTATATCAGTACTATGTGTACTATAGGCACTAAATGTGCAACCCACAGAATTCATCATATGTTGATGAACAACCGTATAAGCACTAAGTGTGCAACCCACAGAATTCATCATATGTTGAAGAACAACCGTATATGCATTAAGTGTGCAACCCACGGAATCATCATATGTTGATGAACAACCGAATAGGTACTAAGTGTACAACCCACGTAATTCATCATATGTTGATGAACAACCGTATAGGCACTAAGTGTGCAACCTACGTAATTCATCATTTGTTGATGAATAACCATATTGGCACTACGTGTGCACCCCAGAGAACTTATAATGTTATGAAAACAAATATATTTTGATATATATGATACACTTATGTTTTATTTAAGGCATTTAGGTGTAACTCAGGTACCATGTATTTTCATTCATCATATACTGGGTAAACAAATGATAAATTAGAAAATATTGATTGAAAGGAATGATGGGCATACTAAAGATATTTATCATGTTATTTGATTGAAGATTGGTTCGCCAAGCTTATTTGATGTATTGATTTGAATTATACGATTTTCATTTGTATTTTGATAATTTGGAATATGATTATAATTAAGTATAATTCATTTTGTATTACTATGCCTCACTAAAGTAAATACTTAACGTGTGTTGGTTTCACACGTAGATAAAAGTCGAGATTAGAAGTAAAGAGTACCGAGCAACTCTAAGCATCGACTGCAATATCAGTAAGACATCCTATGATGAAATTTTTGACTTAGTTTAGTGGAATGTACTTATGAATGTCTTATTAGTTTTATTTTAATATTTTTAGAGACTGGTTTGTAATAGATTAACTGGATCGTTTTATATTGATTTTAATATTTTAGAGACTGATTTTACTAAGTATAATTGCATGTTTTTGGTATTAACTCAACTTAACCTTAAAATAATCAAAACATATATGTGATAATAATGATGTTTTGTCTGCTAACTTTTTGAATAACTCTAATTATTTAAAGGTAGATGAACCCTAAATTTGGGACCAATGGGTTAAATGGGTATATATCAAAATCAGCAATCAAGCTGGGGAATATTTTTTAATAATAAATCAGATAACTTGTGGTAAAGATTAAGACATAACTGTTTTTGTTTTGTTTTTGTTTTAATAATGTTGGAGTTCTAGGTGAGTGAGACATTCAGATATTACTATGAACTTTCTGAATAGTGTCATATATTAACTGTTGCTTTACTCACTTTCACTTTAAAATTATCTTTATTAATATTAAAACAAATGGTTTAATTTCTTTCAATCCTTTTGATTTTTTGAACTTTTAAAATTCAGTCCCTCTTCTTTGACTTGCAAGAATTTAGCTTTCTAACTATCCGATTTGAAAATTAAGTAATAATTTCATTTAAATTGAATATGTGGGATGTAATATTCAAAGGAATTAACTTCCATTAATTAAAAGTTGAGAAACTAAATTTTAAAAGTCGGAAGAAGTAAAGGGACTAGTTTCGTCTCTGGTTTTCCCCCCACCGCGTTTTCCAGAAACTGCCACGAATCAGCTCCCTCTACTCCTCTTCAACACGCTTCGATCTTCAACGAAAACGGTACAGACTTGTCCTTCGGTCTTCACTCTTAAACCCTCCCCAACAAATATATATACACTCCCAAAGAGCCGCCATTTTCATTATCCAAAGCTCAGCTTGAAAGCTTTCAAGAACAACCCTTTTCAGCAAACAATCAGAGGGACCATTTAGCAAAAGAATTTTCAAGCTTTTCAATTGATGGTGAAGCCAACAAGCTGCCCTCAATCATCTTCAGCATCTCCAACGGATTATGTTGACATAAACAGCTGTAGTGGTAGTAGTAACAGTTCGAAATATAAGGGTGTTCGGAAAAGAAAATGGGGGAAATGGGTATCGGAGATTCGACTTCCCAATAGCCGCGAACGTATTTGGTTGGGGTCTTACGACTCGGCGGAGAAAGCTGCGAGGGCGTTCGACGCGGCTCTTTATTGTTTACGTGGCCGCGGTGCTAAGTTCAATTTCCCGAATAATCCGCCTGAGATCGTAAACGGGCAATCGCTTAGCCCACCGGAGATTCAGGTGGCGGCCGCTAGGTTCGCCGAAGAGACGGAACACAGTAATAATAATAACAATGTAGGGACAGAAGAGTATACGTCGTCTTCATCGGTGTCGGTGTCGGATGGGACAGCGACAACGCAAGTGGGAGGGAGTGGTCGCCATCATCATGGTGAAGAAATGATGGATTGGTCGTTTTTGAGCACGTTGGATAATACCAATTATCAAGTGATATCCGATTATGGCTTTTATTTGCCGCCCGGTGGTGATCAGTTCTATCTTCCTCCTCCTCCTCCTCCTCCGCCTGTCGATGACGGCGTCAATGATGATGGAAACGGTGGCGACGCTTTTTCACAGTCATCGTTTCTTTGGAACTTTCAAAGCTGCTCCAAATTAGAGTTGTTTTTAAAAGGAATAATCTTGATTTCGTCATTGTTTTCTGGGGTAATCATGATCATTTTGGTGAATTTTAGCTGCCAAAGGCACCGATTTTTCTCCAGATATACAGTGAGTAAGATGATGAGAGTTTTCCTTTTTGGGGGGCTGTGTTCATGCTTCCCGGGTTAATTGTATGACGTATACTCGTACTAACTCGTAAAAGTATCGAGCAAGAGCGTATAATCCAGTCCTGTAAACCATTTTTAAGCGTTTCTTGGCTGGAGATACGAAGGGTCAAGGTTATTTCTTGTTACTTAAATGATTAAATTCGAAATTAATATTTGTAATCCAAGCCATATGATTTAGTTAAATATTATAATTTTTTACCAAACTTTTATATAAATTTCTTTTGGAAAATAATTTTAAGGTAGATATGATTTTCATTATCTTAAATTAAAAAGTTTATCTACAATTTAGATATATTATTTAGGGATGAGATGAGTAGATATTTTCATCTTCTAATCTATCGAAGAGTTTTACTTAAATTTGAAGCAAACATATTTAACCGGTCAAGTTGTTCATCTTTAATCTCTCAAATTTTCCTAGGTTATAGGTTCTTAACTCGCTAGAAGCATTCCTCGTCCTTTCCTAGAGTCTCCCATTTTTCTATTCTCTACGTAAGATTAGAATTATAATTATATTTAGAATTTGTCAAAAATTAAAAGTTTTACTTGAATTTGATTTGTCTCGAGATTAGATTAAAATTAGAGCTGGACATAAGTAAGATCGACTCGATTTTTTGGCTGACCCGAAAATTATATCCTTCACTTGCCACTTTATATGGTTCTAATTTAAAGAGATTTCACCCGACTTAAAATCTACTCGATTTTTAGATGAAATTTTGCACTTGACTTGACTCAACTCAACACAAATGTTTATATTTTTTTCATTTTTATTAGGAAAATGGAGATCTAGTTGAGAAGAATATATATAGAAATATATATTATTATTATTATCTTTAAATATATGAGGGATCATTATACTATAATAATCAAATTAGGTCGTATTGAAAATTTTACACCTTAAACTTAAACTCAACTCGACTTAATTCGACATAATTCTTAAAAAAAATATATCTAACCCGATCTAAACTCAAAATTTTAAATAATAATTACATAACCTTATAATATCGTATCATATTAAAATTTATGGAATCTAAATTTTATACATACCTGATCTCCAATTTCAACACGTGCTCAAAACCCATATTCATTATCCAAATCTTTTATAATAAAAAGAAATTAAAATCCATCAATTAGCATACAACTACAACGTGCCGCTATTGAGATAAGTGTGTATGACATGATCACAAATGGTAAAAAGAAATTAGTATCTAATGATTTTATATTATTAAATTAATATTTTATATAATTATTTTTTTATTTTAACAAAATAATATATTAAATTTAAAAAATATGTTAAATCATATCGAGTGGGAGTTAAATTTTCAATTAAGTATGCAATTGGAGAGTGGCTATGCAAGAAGGCATAAGCTTGCTACTTTGCCATATCTGATATCTAGGACCATAGGCACAGTGTCTCCACCAATGATCCACTCTGGGCCCAAACATTTAGCAGATTATCGTCCATAATTAACATGATAATTTTACTCTAATTTGATGAATTTTGATTTGATTAAATTTTATAAAATTATTATTTTTTAAAATTTAAGTTTGGAGATAAGTTTTACAGAAGATGATGTGAGATCAGGTTTAAAGTGAAAATATAGGATAAAATTATATTTTTCTTATATATAAGTAGAGATAATTGTTGTAATATCTCGTTATTTTTTTAATTTATTCCTTGTGTATTGAACAAAATAAAATTAATTTTAAGTAAGGTGAAACTTTCATATGCCCATGTAATGTCATATGTCGGGTGAGAGCTATAATACTTGGCTTCTAGATATAATTTGATAAATTTAATGATTATTTTGTGTCTTTTGAAAATGTAGTGATTAAAAAGATTATTTCAATATAATTTAGTTACCTTTAGTGTACTTTACCCAGAATAAAAAAGACAAAAGAAGTGGGCAGGGCAAGAAGCCCAGTGCATAGCTTACAACTCACAAGTCTCAGTTCAATCTTCTCAAAGTCCAGATCGGCGATCTCTAAAAAGATTTCTACTGTTCAATTCCCATTTCTTTACTGTTCAATTCCCATTTCTTTAGCTCGTCTCATTGTTTTCCAGTCACGGCTGGATTTCAGGGCAAAATGACGGAAGAGGAGAGACGGTGCATCGTAACCGGCGGCAGAGGCTTCGCCGCTCGTCATTTGGTCGAAATGTTAATCAGATACGGCATGTTCTCTGTTCGAATCGCTGACTTGCCTTCCAAAATTGACCTCGAATCGCACGAGGAGAACGGTCTCCTCGGCGAAGCTTTACGCTCCGGTCGTGCTGACTACGTTTCGGCTGATCTTCGCCACAAAGCTCAAGTACTCAAAGGTATTGAAAAATCTCATTTATTTTCAGTCGATTTATCAGTAATAGTCAATTTTAACTCTCCTTTTTTTTCTTTTTAAATGTAGCTTTGGAAGGAGTGGAGGTTGTTTTCCATATGGCGGCTCCAAATTCGTCGATTAATAATTTTTCGCTTCATCATTCGGTTAATGTTCTAGGTATGATATATATAGTTTTAGTGTTTCGGAATTTATTTGAGATTTATTTGGTTTGTTTTTTGTTTTTTTTTCTACAATTTGCAGGTACTAAAAATGTTATTGAGGCTTGCATTCAACTTAAAGTGAAAAGGCTTATTTATACGAGCTCCCCGAGTGTTGTTTTCGACGGGGTTCACGGAATCTTTAATGGGAATGAATCTTTGCCTTATCCAGCTAATGTACTAATTTCAATCTATTTGCCTTTCTTTAAGTTGGATTTGACTTATGTTTTCTATTCCTTGCAAGTTGCAATTGATTCACTTTTTTTTTTCAAGCATAATGATTCATACTCAGCTACAAAGGCCGAGGGAGAGTCACTGGTCATGAAATCAAATGGGATTGACGGGCTTCTAACTTGTTGCATACGTCCGAGTAGTATTTTTGGCCCTGGGGATAGGTTGTTGGTTCCATCATTGGTTGCGGCAGCCCGGGCAGGGAAATCCAAGGTGGTTATGTTACTTTCGATCTTCATTTTCTTCATTAGAGTGTGTCTCTGTTTGATTATTTGTTTTCTTATTCATTTAACTGATTAGTTCATAATTGGTGATGGAAACAATGTATATGATTTCACTTATGTTGAAAATGTGGCTCATGCTCATATTTGCGCTGAACGAACTTTAGCTTCTGGAGGAGAAGTTGCTGAAAAAGCTGCCGGGCAGGTACTCTTCTAATCACCTCCAGACTTTTTACTGTAATTGCTATCAAATGGAGATGAGGTTTCAGTGTTTCAAGATGTAGTATATTTTCAAATAGATCGGTTTAAGTGTTTTGTTGCTAAAGTCAACTCCTTGATAGTGGTTATATGATAATTTGGCAGGCATATTTTATCACCAATATGGAGCCAATCAAGTTTTGGGAGTTTGTTTCTCGAATACTTGAAGGTCTTGGCTATCAGAGGTAATCTGAGATCCAATTACATTCTACTCGTTTTTTAGTCTTTGTTCTGCTGATTTACTACTCTATTTCCTCCAAACCACATCATAATCTGTATTCTTTCTTCTTCCATTTTGATTATATAGATTAGCTTCATTTTTTTCAAAAAAGTTAACGGGCGACATAATGTTGATGTTGTCGCTTTGTAACAGCAAGTTGTAAGTTAACAATATCCGGACAAGTGTGATTCTTTCTCATCCTACCCTTCAAATCCTACAAAATTGTGGATAAGCCAAAAGACTGCTTATTAGAATGTATATTGTTTGTGATTATTGGATTCTGCCTTATATTTATTTTGAGGCTGTGCACTAAGGCACTTTTCTTGGATTATGTGTATTCTTAATCTGTTTCCGTGTACTATATTAATTTCCAAATCCATTTGCCTTTGGTGAAAATTTAGGAAATAAAAATGGTTTTGTAACCACTAATACCTAGGATATTCCTTTTTTCTGGACTGCTGTACTTTTCAGGCCAAAAATAAAGATTCCTGCCATTGTTATAATGCCAATTGCACATCTGGTGGAGTGGACATATCGGCTATTAGGCCCGTATGGCATGAAGGTTCCACAATTGACACCTTCAAGAGTTAGACTTCTATCTTGCAGCAGATCTTTTGATTGTTCAAAAGCAAAGGATCGGATTGGCTATACACCAATTGTCTCACTTGAGGTTCTATCATGTTTCAGCCCCTCTTGTGTTTAATTGCATCTTTTTTTCCTCTTTAGGTTTAATTACTTTTAAGACTTGGAACTGATAAATTGATATGTATTGGACAATATACAATGAAACCATGTTCAATTTGCTACTAGGTTTATCATTACTTCTAAACTTACCAGTTAAGTAAGTTGTTCCATCATGGTGGTAGTGATCCTTGTATTTGACCAGGCTCATTCCTCTACTCTTGAAGTACAGCGTATTGCATCAGATGCAAATGTGGTTATAAACTGGAAGTATTGGACAACATAGACTTATTAGTGCCTTTTATTGCCTGTACAATGATTGATGTTTATTTATGACAGTGATTTAATAATGTTGCAGGATGGTCTACAGAAGACAATTGAGTCATTCTCACACTTGAGAGCTGAAAATCAACCCAAGAGAGAGGGGCCATCTAAAGTTTCAGTCTATCTTGGACGGGGAAAGGGTATATTTATTTCTTCATGCTTCTTTTTTGATGTCATACTCTTCCTCCACAACAAGGCGATTGTTCACATTTCTGTTGTTTTGTTGCAAGTCCATGTTGTTTTTCTGCTCTTTTCTTTCTAGTATTTTGGAGGGTCAAAATCAAATTGTTTTATGGGTTAGGATTTAAGACTTCGTATGCAGCTATCCTGTAATCTTGGACTATGAAATAGATTTTGATGAGTTGAAGGCTAAAAGGCAGTTGGGCTACTGTAGAAAGGGCTGTGAATCTTGTAATCAAGCTTTAGATATGTTATTCAACTGATGTAGTAGTTTGACTGTTACACTGATAATGATGATATAGTTCGACTGATAAACTGATAATGATGATAATCTATGTTAAAAATTTATAATGCAATTGATATATTTATTCAGCGCACGTGCATGTTTTACATTACTTAACCATCTGTGTTTTATTTTTGCAGTTGCTGACACACTACTTTGGAAGAATAAAAGGCAGACACTGACTGTGCTATTAGCATCGGTTGCAATTTACTACTACTTCATTGCTTCGGGTGCTACCATTATCACCGCAGTTTCAAAGCTTCTCTTGTTGTCACTATTTTTCTTGTTCATCCATGGCAGTCTACCAAATAGAATGTATGAATACCAAAACAACTTTGCTTAAAACGGAAAGATTATCATAATCTTGGTCTTAAAATAAAAAATGTAGGCACTTTTCTTGATTTTATGTTTTCTGGGAGCTATTTATTTATGGGAAGGCTAAACAAGCAAAATTTCCTAATTCTGATCTCAATAACTGCTTAACATAAATGGCATTTTCTGATGGTGCAGATTGGGATATACAGTAGAGAAAATTCCGGCATCAAATTTCCACTTATCAGAAGAGAAATCAAGAAACATTGTAATGTTGATGGTTTCATCCTGGAATTGTGCTGTTAATGCTTTGAAATCCCTTTGCAAGGGGAAGGATTGGATACTGTTCCTCAAGGTATTATCATTTTCTGAGTTTGCTTCTTATTTGTGTGCTTTCAAATACGTTAGATGTCTAGTCCCATGTACCTCCCTGTTTCCTAAACTTAAATACTATAAATTGATTGCACCTCATGAAAAGCTGTGTAAGACAATCCAACCTCTGGACTTCATCTCTTATGTTTCATGTTCATAGTCTTTTAGATGCTGAATGATTGATCACTAAACTTGAACTGGGTCCTCAATTCCTTGCCTTGAAGATCAGTAAGTAGGTACACAATAGGTTCACTCTGTTAAACATGTGCTCATGCGTAAACTATCGACCTTCCTTTTCTCTTCCATTTCTCTGCCAGTCATTGGCCTGTTATGCCTCAATTACTAGACTTAATCTACGTGTGCTTATTGGGGTGTATAGAAATGTTGTTCATTGTGAAATTCCAACACTCTTAATGTGAAATTATGGTGGCTGTAATCATTTGGCATTATTTTTTTTCTTTGCAATGAAACAGGTGGTTTTTTCTTTATTGCTTCTTAGCTTCCTTGGGGCCGTATCATTTCAGACTATTTTTGTCATAGGTTTGCCCTCTCCCTCTTTCTCTCTCTCTTGCATGCTCACACGCACACACCTGAAAATACACTGTAGGCATGTGCAACTGCAAACAGATATCAACAAAAGGTATTTGTATCGTTGGACACGGAAGAAATATTTATTATTACTCCAGGCAGCAAATGTTGTTGCCTGTCCTGCATAAAATAACCTGAAATTTCAGCTCCGGACAAAGCATTGTCATATGCTTATTTCCTTCTATAAGCTCATTCTTTATAATTTTCGGACTGCAACCGAAAACGTATGATTGCAGGACTTCCGGTTGCCTTTATAGCTTTCTATGTATACGACAAAAAGGAGCAAGAAATTGATTCTTTTGTTCTAGAAGCCTTCTCCTTGGGGTGCAAATTGAAATCTGGTATTTCCAGGAAAATAGTGTCCTCCAAGAAGAATGACTGATGGCATACTGCTCTATATTTTCTTTAACATGATGGGTGGAACTGCGATCAACCATTTCAAGCTCTTTTTCGAGGATTTTAAGCATATGGACGTGTATTGTTACTTGTATTTTAGCCATTTCACCATTCATTTTGAAATCCCTTCGTATATTTAGATTTGATTCACTTGTATGTAGTCCTTGGGAATGTTTGATACTTTTCCTCTTTGGATTGTATACTGAGGTTTTTGTTTGATTTGGTGAATAAAAGTAGGACTTAGATGATGTGTTTTTTCTTTAAATTTATTTATCAAAACCTTTTTTTGATTGTTGTATATATTTTAAATAGTCTAGGGTGATTATCTCTGGGGAAAATAAATTGAATAATCTTCTATTTAACCACTTGATGGGTTCTAAAATTGTATATATTAAAAGCTGACTAAATCAATCAACTTGATCATCTCTGGGCAAAGCAGATTTGGTAGCTTCACCAAAATCCTTAACGAGCATCACAGCTATCATTGTCTTTCCTACACCTGTATCCAACGCTTCTACAATGTTTCTTCTCTGCAGCCTCATACACCTACAATTGATATCTACAGAACACAAAACTGAAGACAAAAAAACTCAGAATGACACTAAACAATAACCGAACTAGAGAGAGAGAGAGAGAGAAACAAACTCTCTACGATTTAAGTCCTTAGGCGTTGAAGATGAAGAAGGGTCTTCCATAGCAGCATCAGTGTCATCTAAAACCATCATATCCGGTGGGTCTGCTGTGTTCTCTCACTGAAACTTCTTTTCAAAGGGTTACCCTGTTCCTCCTTCGCAGAATGCATGTAGGCTGTGAGATATTTAACGAGAGAAACAGACTAAACATTCACTGAATGGGAATGATAAGAGAAAAACACGCAATATATGTGTTGAATGGGACTCCAGCAAGGACATGGATTCTATAAAATACACTGTTATTGGAGTTTTCTAAATAACTTATTTGGTCATTTTCATGGAGAAAAAGGCCTTGAAAACTATGAACTAAGATTAAAACAAATTAAGCTTTTTTAGTATGGTAAAAGTGATTTCTTAGTTTATCTATAGACTTAGTGAAACTCTAAAACAGTAGCATTGCTGAGTCTGCTGGGAAACTGACGGAGGGAGAGTGTAAAAGACGGCCCAATGTTTGTTGAATGTTGAATATCATTTTAACCCCTCTAAGAGTGTAAAAAACTATTTTAATCCCTTCAAAATTTATACTCTATATTATAATGTAATAATAAGATTACATTTTGACCCTTCTAAAAACTGTCACAAGCTTATGTTACATGGTGATTCTGCATTAGCTACCGAAGGAGGAGGCAATTTGATCCGATTTCTCCAACCACGACGATGTAGATCTTGTTTTCCCTCGCTGCAATCCTTGTTTGTAAACAACTCAATTGTTATCGTCGGTTTCATTCGGCACTACATAAACAAATGTTGCAACAAAATCATCCTGAAACCCCTGAACAGAGTCCAGGATCTTGACTGCATCGCCCATGCACGGCCTCCACTTCGGCTGGTGGCTCAACCATTTGTAAGCCAATGCAGCCACCTTATTGGAAAATTGTCCCTCCAGTCTAGCATTTATTAGCCGATCAAGCTTCTTAGGGTCCCTTAACAATGGCCTTGTCCATTCAACGAGGCTCTACTCTCGATTCTCCACTGGGACGGCTTTTGTCTACTGCTCGTTTTTCTGCTAATAACTCTTACAGAATCACTCTGAAACAAAGATATCGATGTCTAAGTATATAACTCAAATTATTTTGATTCGATTCGATTTTATCAAATACTCATCCATAATAATAAATTCAATGCATCCCCTTTTTTCAATAAAAGAAATACAGGGCGAAAGTGATGGGTCATTGTTGTACGGTGGCAATAACTTTGGGAGAGAACAAGGCCCGCAATGGAAGTGTTGATTAATATGACAAGTGAATACCCCACGTCCACCCTGCTGTTGATCATGCCCTTGTTTAGCTGTGGCGAAACCTTCCCCAATTAAAACACAATGTATTGGTGGACGGTGGTTATGGGTGAAGTAGATGAAAAAAAAGTTATCGTCTGTAACTAAGCTAGTCAGTCAATAATTCAAGTCAGTGGTGGCAGAGTTTGGTGAACCGGTCACCCTCGTTACCCGATAAAGCACAAACCAACCCAACCAAACCAAACCAACCCAATTTCCCCTTTATTTCTCCTACTCTATATTTACCACATCTCTTCTCAATGTTTCTCCCACCATCTAAAGATTCATTTATCAAAAATGTTTTTCACTTCGATCAATTTAAACATTATAAAATCTTTTTTATGAATTATAAAAAAACAAATTTTATATTTAAATGATGGATAGAAACTAAGTCGAGTGGAGCTTTCATAAATTCAAATCGAGTCAATTGATGGATAGAAAGGTGTTATCTTATGTCAGATTTAAGTAGGTTAAAAATTCGATTGGACCAAACTCATGACGATCTCTATATAAATATTATATCAAAATTTTTAAATAAACAAATTATAATATATGAAACAAATCTAAAACTTATATATAATACTTAAATTAATAAAAATGAAAAAAAAAATTTGAATCTCTAATAACTTTTATAAAATTACTAAATATTTAAAAGAAAATACATATTTTTAATTTTCAATGATGTGATATAATTCTAGTTTAAGAAAAATAATGATTTTGTATGTAGTGTTTTCTTATTAGAAAGGTCCTTTACTTTGGACCACACAAAATATAAACTTATTCAATTAAAAGTTGAAAAGCATATTAAGAATATTTTAAATATTATTATATGATTGTTTAATATTAAATAATAAAATAAATACCATCAAATTACGAAAAAATATAAATTATATTTATTCCACTGTCCGTATTCATAATCATTGAATTTTCCTCCAAGAAATTTGAGCTTTCGTATAATAGAGTCAAAACCAACACACCTCCCTGCTTCTTTACCCCTTTTCATGGCCTAGCTTTGAAAATTGAAACCCTTATTTTCTCCACCAGTCGACCGTCATGGCTCCCGCTTTTCTCAGTATCGTCTCCTTATACGGAATCTATCTCCGCCGTTGCCTCACGGCCTCCGGCCTCACTTCAAAATCCATCGACATCGACGACGACACCACCATCCACTTATGGTCCCCAAAACCCGACCAACAACAACAAAAACCCGCCTTGCTTTTGCTCCACGGGTTCGGTCCCAGCGCTATCTGGCAATGGCGTCGACAGGTCCAGTTCTGCGCCTCCTACTTCGACGTCTACGTCCCCGACTTGGTCTTCTTCGGCGGTTCCACGACGAAGTCCAACGAGAGGTCCGAGGTTTTCCAAGCTGTTTCGATGGCTAAGTTGATGGAGAAGCTTCGAGTGAAGAAGTATCACGTCATGGGGACGAGCTACGGCGGGTTCGTGGCGTACCATATGGCGAAACTGTGGCCGGACACGGTGGAGAAAGTGGTGATCGCCAGCTCCGGTGTCAACATGCGGAAGGCGGACAACACGGCGTTGCTTGAGAGAGCTAACGTGGAGAATATCGAAGAGATCATGCTGCCGGAGACGGCTACTCAGATAAGGACTTTAAGTCGTTTGGCTGTTTCATGGCGTTTCAACATGGTTCCCGATTTTTTCTGGAACGACATCGTCAACGTAAGTATCTTTCATAATCTGACCTTTTAATAGTTACTTTTTATCTTTTGTCTCATAAAATTGTATACTTTTATTTTAACCTCCCAATACTAAATGACTTGAGATAACTTTACTTCAAATTTAAGGGTCTAATTGATATAATTATTTGACACCAGAAAATTCTAAGACTAAAAACATAAGAATAAATTAACTATGTTTAAATGATTATTTTGATTTCTAAATTTTAAAAGATACAAAATGATCACTAAATTATCAAATTGTTACAAAACGATAACTACAATTTTATAATTAATGTAAAAGTTTGATAAATTTAATGATTATTTTGTGATTGTTAGATAAAACTTAATGGTCATTTTATAATAGTTCGATAAATTTAATGATTATTTGTAACTTTAGAAAGTTTAGTGGCCAAAATACTATTTAAGCATGGTTCAATGACCTTGGTGTACTATATCCATTAGAGTCACTAATACGTGCTTAAATGATCATTAAATTTATCAAACTATTATAAAAATGATCATCGTTACGTTATAATGTGTAAAAACTTTAATAAATTTAATAATTATTTTATAATAGTTTCATTAAAATTTAATGATTATTTTATAATTTTTAAAAATTCATGGATGAAATCAATCAATTGAGCTTAATTCAACAAGCTAGAATATACTTCATCCAAAAATATTAATACCAGCTGAACTGGTATTCAATTGGGTTATTTGTTAACCAAAGTGGGTGTGAAATTAATTGCTTGGAAGCTGGCAGATATGAATGCTATTATTTTAGGGTTTGATAGCGATGATTTCCTAACTGTAACGCAATCTTTAATTCGATCAACTGTGCTAGATTTGATTTGTGCATATAAAGAACGTGGGCCATTTTGGCAAATATTATATTTCCTGTTCCTTTTTTCCTCCTCCTATTTTGTGGGGTCTGTTAAGGGTAATAATGTCTGTCAATTACAAGGACAACAAGTGCTGTCATGTTCCTTCTTCCACGTATACTTAATTTCATGCAAAATGCAGCAATTATACTCAGATAACAGACAAGAGAAGTTGGAACTTTTGAAGGGAGTCACCCTTGCGGCCGCCGACGAGTCCTTCAAGCTGACTCCACTTCAACAGGTATAGATACTCTATGGTGTTCCAGTTTTTCGTTTTATTCGACGTATTTGTGCTTGATATATAAATATAATATCAATAGTTTAACATTCCCTCTTTCGGTGTCGATTAGAACGTGCTGATAGTTTGGGGAGATAAAGACCAGATTTTTCCATTGAAATTGGCTCATGAACTCAAAGAGTAAGCTCATTACTTCCTTTACATGGTCTCACTCGTTATATTTTCAACAGTTTTAACAGTGTAAAATTTCTAGATTTTATATGATCTTAGATTATTGAACGAGTAAAAAAATAAACGATTAAGATAAATGATAAAAAATAAATATTTTATTCAAAAAATATTTATTATTTATTTGATTGACTTAACTGGGAAATGTCAGGCTCCTAGGGAAGAAGACAAGACTGGAAATAATAGAAAACACAGCTCATGTGCCCCAGATCGAGGACTCGTCACAGTTCAACAAAATCATCAAAAACTTCCTATGTGGGTGATCATCAAGTCAACTCCCATTAATATTGTAAATTTCTATGCGAGGTTCTGATACTATAATTCAAGGAAACCTTTTTATCTCCAGATTCCAAGTTTGATAATAGCATGCCATTTCAAGAATTATTAGATTTACTCCACGTGTTTAAGGATTAAGTGATTGATTAATCGTAGGTTGAGTAGGCTGATTTTCTCAATTTCATGCTATTAACGTGCATGCACGAATTCCAGTTACTTTGGTGGTAAATAAATTGTTATTTCTTTAAGTTTCGAGTTTAAACTTAAAAAGAATGAACATTTACTGTCAAATGATTAATAATTATCTTTAAACATACACTAATTTGTACTTACCTTAAATAAATTTATATACTTGTTAAAATTACAAACTATACATGCTCACTTAAAGTAAATATTCTCCTCTAATAATGATGTTATCTCATTTTTTCAATTACCTATGCTTAGCCGAAATACAAAAGCCTTTCTTTTCAAGTCTCCCTTTTGCTCTATTTCAGGCCCAGCCATATCAGAGCAAATAAAAAACCCAACCTTTTACACCATCAACGAACCTAAACAATAAAAACCCACACCACTTAATTGTTAAGATAATGAAATTATTGACATCATATAATAAAATATTTATGATTTAATCAATGTTTTCCTTCCTATAATCTTTTTAGGGTTATTTTTTTCAGAGAAAATAACTTCAGTGACCGAAAATACCTTATAATATACTATTTTAACCAACTTTTTTTGGATTTGCCAAAATGACCAACAAATTCGTAATGCGAACTCCAATTTCGCAACCCAGTTTCCAAATTCGCAACGCGAATCTGTAAATCGCGACGCGAATTTGTAAATCACAACACATAAGTCAAATTCGCAACACAGAAATCAAATTCGCAATGCGAAAGTCAAATTCATAACGCGAACTCCAATTTTGCAACGTGAATAGTAAAAATCGCAACGTGAATAGTAAAAGCGCAATATGAATAGTATAATCGCAACGAATCTATATGTAAATTATCTCTTATCATCCATCTATAATAATTTGTTGAAAAAATATATAAATAATTTTTATAAAAAATATTCGTACACGTGAAAAAATTTATATGTAAATGAGCAACAAATCTATTTCATTTGTCAATCTTTATTACAAATTATTCTAAATTCAATTAATTAAAGTTTGAAATTTGAAAGAATCCTTAACTCAGACTAAAGAAATACATTTAAAAAATTAAATTTTGAATTATATTAAGAAAAAGCTGATTCCTGTACACATGTAGATAAGTTTTATTTTCCTCTTAAAATCCCAGTCTAGAAGCAGAGAGTTACCATTTGAAATTCACAATAAGATTTTGCGATTTTCTAAATTCGCGTTGCGATTTTTCAATTCACGTTACGATTTTTACTATTCACGTTGCGATTTTTACTATTCACACTACGATTTTGGAAACTGAGTTACGCAATTGGAGTTCGCGTTGCGTTTTTGTTGGTCATTTTGGCAAATCCAAAAAAAGTTGGTTAAAATCGTATATTATAAGACATTTTCGACCACTGAAGTTGTTTTCTTTTTTTTCATGTGGCTGAATTTTTATTTATTAATAAGAGAGAACATATGATTTTACGTTAAGAGTGTTGATTTAAGAATATATATTAATTAAAATAATTTTAATTAAAAATTAAGAGCGTTGATTTAAGAACATTAATTTTATATAAAAAAATAATTTTTAGATGAATTTAAAAAAATTAATTAAAATTATAATATATATTGTGTAAATAAATTTTATAATATATATTAATTGTAAAATTTTAGTGGTGCCCACCTAAAAGATTCACTTATTCCTTTGATCTGACCACCTTTGAAATATGTAGTTGAGCAAATTCACGCAGTTGCTGTTCTGTTTGCTGTCCATTTTGGTGGAACTGTCACGTGGAGTTTCGTGGGTCTAAAGGAACAACTATCAATGGCCTTTCCACCAAAAAAAATTGTAATTTTCGGTGGACCCATAAGGAAAAACATCTTTCTTGAATTTCGGAAGATATAAGAAAAATTGTCATAATGAGTTTACGTTTAATATTATTATCAAAAGTCACTATAAAACCTCTAAATTAATGTTTTTTATTTCACTTTTGCCCTTTCAAAATACAAATTGCTCTAATTCACTGTGTTCTTAACATCCCCAGCATATTTTTTCTCCCTCGGATCAAATAAAAATCTCATTTTTTTTACACACAAAAGAATTTCAAAAGAGAAAATTTGAAAAGAAAAACCCTAGCTTTCCTTGTCGGTAATTTGAATCACTTGATGCTTACATGCATGTTCTCTTCCTCGTAATTTCGGATACGTTTCCTTTTCTTTGCATTTTGGACTCTCTATTCTCGAAGTTTCTGGGTTGAGCTCGTTAAATTTTACCCTTTTTGAATTCTCTCAATAAATTCAAATGCTGGTTTCTTGTAAGGGAGCTATTTTGAAGTATTTCACTTTTTGTTTTGGTTTGCATATGATGAATGTATAATTAGCTTTGCTTCGTTTTTGATTTTGAAACTTTTACTATGATTATTATTCTTTTAATCGAATAGTATTTTTAGTTGCTGATTGTTTTCTTTGGTTTTCTTAAATGGATCATGTTGAATTCTAATTGGATCATCATTTTTTTTCCTTTGCTGGTGCATTTTTTTCGAATTGGGTGGTAAACTTGATCACCCAATTTGCTCAGTTCAGGGAAGAGAAAGTTAAAGGTCTCTGAACTGGGCAATTAGCTGACTTCCAATGTATGCCGAATAATTGGTTTTTTTTCATGGATTTAGATGGAGGGTCTCCTCATATTTTTCCAATGGAGAACTTTGTTTCTAGTGGTTTGGGAGTTCATTTGTTTTCGCTGTTTAGTTCGTTTGTTGACAGCTCTTTGTACCATTCCAAACAATTGTATGTGCCTGGTAGTCTTGCGTTTCCAGAAGCTTTTAGTTGCATGTCAAAGTTTACAGGGGCTGTTCTGTTTTGGTTCTCTACCATGTCAACTTCGAGGCTGAGTAGGGACATATCATCTGGTAACCAGCGTGGTGGTTGCAAGTCTTCAGCTCTGGTTAAACACATTGCTTCTTGTAAGAACAATATTCCTGGGTTTTGCTTCTCTTCGGATTCAAGAGGCTTATCAGCCACTCCACTATTTATTGGTAAAATTTCGAGTTATGCAATGACAAACTTCTTTGGAGAAGCAGAAGCACTTCAACACATTCCTTTGCTGTCCTTAGCTGCTGCTCTGATTCCACCATTAGACAACTTGTAACATTTTTTTATCTCACTAATTACATTGTGTTTGTCTAGTGACATGGTTTCTCATTGATTAAGGTATCTGATGTCATGTGATCAGATCTTCAGAGGCACTAGCCGTTCCTCTTGATAACGCAGAAGTTAAAATGCCAGAATACATAGACAGAAGGCCTTGTGAAGTTGGTCAAGAATGTGGCAGTCTATCTTTTCTAGATTTGAACTGGAGACGACATGCTGTAGAATCCAAAACCGGCATTGAGTTCCCAACAATCTTGGATAACATATCAGAAATGCAATATAATTCCAGTTTAGCTTCCGAGGTAAAACATCTGGGACATTACTGTATCAATCATCTGCAATATGCCATTTACTTCCCGCAGTTGCATAGATGCCTTATAGGTGCCTTTATTGAAAATTTAAACTAATTGATTTTTGAAGCTTTTCATTGTTAGCCGTGGGATTTATATTGCAAAACATTATTTGTTCAAACATGAATGTCACAATGGGAACATGCTTTGGTTTTTAACATTATCTGTTTTTTTTTTACGTGTTGGCAGTTCTGGGTTCTTTATGCAATAACTCGAGCTATGTCTCTATGCTTATAGGTGCTTGTTGGTACTGGATCAAGAACCATGAAGATAATCAAAATTAAGTCTCTGAAGGTGTATGCATTTGGTTTTTGTAAGTACTTGTGGATTTTGCTTCATTCCTCCTACCTTGTGTTATTAATTATGTGCTTTTCCATGTGCTTCAACAACTCTGCTTGATTTTCCGTTTCCTCTTACAGATATTCATCCGCACTCCATTTGCCAGAAATTGGGTGCAAAGTATGCTTCTATACCCGTGGGTGAACTGAACAAAAACAATTATTTTTATCAGGATCTTCTGAGGTATTTAAGAATTTTCATATTACACAATACCAATCAAGGCTTCGTCAAAGACTTGGAACATTCATAGGCTTTTTTAATGTCTTTTCTTTGTCTATTTTCTTACGGTTTTATTCGAGTGTTCAGGGAAGATATTGGTATGACAGTTAGGCTAGTGGTAAACTGCAATGGAATGAAAGTAAATACAGTTAGAGAGTAAGTTCTTTTTCCCCCATTTCTTTCACCTTCAAACTTTTGCGAACTTGATAGTCTAATTGCATGCCCCCTTTATATGATTCTACCTGTGTATATTGCAGCGCATTTGAAAAATCTCTTCGAGCGCGTTTAGTAAAGGTAAACAATTTAAGTCTGTACAATTTTTTTTTCTCTTCACCCGTCTTCCTCCTTTTATTTGCTTTTCTAGATCTGCTGGACTTCTAACAAATTTCTTGACTTCAACCAGACAAATCCCAACACAGATTATCGTTGCCTCAGTACATTCGGTTCCTACTTCACTCATGATATTTCATTGCCTGCTGTAATTCCCCGTCATCTTTCATCTGTCTTGTTTCTATTCGATCTAATGTAGCAGCAAGTTAACAATATCGGGTATTGCAGGGAACAATAATAGACTTCCAAAGGACAGCTGATGGACAACTAATCACCAAAAGTAAGTTTCTTTCTTGTTTAATAGAAGATCGGTATTTTGTTTTCGGAAAATATTGCACGAATTATACATCCCTCTTGCAGTTGGAGGTGACCAGATTGGAGCTGTCCATAGCAAGGATTTATGCAGTAAGTAAAAGCCCTTTGTCCCGACGTTCCTCAACACTTTAAAGGGTAGGGATTCTAATATCGGCTGTATGCCAGGGGCTTTCTTCGACATGTACATCGGAGATTTCCCGGTGTCTGAGCAATCAAAAGAAGACATTGGCCGAAACATCGCAAGCATCATGAGGAGATGCTGAAGTGGCTTGTTTCCCATCACCATTTTTTTCCAGTTTTTAAACGAGCAAAATGGCGCTACCGGATTCAAGGAACTCGAGGATGTTTATACTGTACTGTCGAGGGGTTTGGCTGATGAACAAAAACAAGAGGGAGAATCAGGAAAACTCAATGCAAAACATTGCAATTGTTTTTGTTAGGATAGTTTTAAACACACATTCTTTGTAGATTTGTTATAATCATCAGTTGAAATAGATGCCCCCTTAACACTATATGCTGTCATCTTCATCCTTTTTTATTACACGAAGGTAATCACATTTCTAGTTCTGTTACAGTTTATTACCGTTGGCGTGGCACATGTAATATTATTCTTTTCAGTGATGTATTATGTGTCATATTATTATCTTAGATGACGTGACACGTGTTATATTTAGTAAACATATAAATTTATAGAATTAAATTCAATTTAAAATTTAATTTGATTGTAAAGTTATTTTTTTTTAAATTGTTCAATCTGAATTTAAATAGATCAACATATAAATTTATTCAAATTTGAAAGGTTTAATGATGTTTTGACTTTTAAATTTATGTTTTTAAAATATTTTAATTCTTGAAATGCTTTCTTTTCAAATTTGAAGGCTAAAGTTATATCAATTCAAAATGAACATAATTTAAAACAATTAGAGTTTAATATTACATAAACCTAACTCAAAAATAAGTAGAACCTAAAATAATTCATAATCAATATGATTTAAAAAAATCGACTCAAATCATAAACGCTCCATATAAAAATATAATTTAATTTGAGATCATAATTTAATCTTGGATAAAGTATATAAATGGTCACCGACTATAGCGCGTTGCTTTGTTGAGTCGTTGATTATTGAAAGTTACAAATTGGTCTCCAATTATAAGATGTTTTATTGAGTCCACGACTATTCAAAGTTATCAAATAGTCATTGGACTATTCAAATGTTCCAAATTCTCTTTTTTTTTGTTAAAAAACTTAGCGGTCGTCTGAGCTGTACGTAAACTTGCTCATTATGATATGATAAAATATGATCCAAGAATCATTTGAGTTGTATTTTATAGATCGAGTTTTGTTTACATTATGACATCGAGCTAGTGTTTGAAACATTACGTTGTCTCGACGGTGTTTGAAAGAAACGACGATATAAGTAGACATCTTTAAAATATAATTTTTTAATATCTCAGTCAACAAGTTAACGTTCAAGTCAAACTGTCGTTAATTTTTTAATGGAGAACAATGAGTTTGAACATATAATAGTTGAATGATCATTTTGTAACCTTTAATAATTAGAAGACTCAAGAAAGTAACATTCTGTAATCAAATGACCATTTATGTATTATACCTTTTAATCTAATATAATTTGATGTAACATAGTAAAAATATAACCAGATCACTGACACGGCCACGAGTCAAAATCGAAAGGGGCTTTTTGAGTCGAGATGAAGTGAGTGAGGAGTCCGGGTCACATGCTTCCGGTGGTTACGTCACACTTTTAATTTAATCTCCTTTTCTTCTTGCCAAACCAATTTACCAAATCATCCAAGTCCAAAGGAAAGCACGCAAGCTTTGCTAAAAGCGAACTTGCCTCAACCACCTTTTCTTAACCACTTTTTATTGCTTATTAAATGGTTATCTTTTGTTCTCATATATAATGGGGTAAGGGGAGGTAAGATAGTAGGTTGCCCCTAATAATAGGTTGAGAGCACCTTCCGTAGGAGACCTGCAAATTATGAAATGTTATCCATAGGACTCGATCCCACGACCTCAAAATTAAGAACCTTATGCTCTACCAATTGAACTGGATGGTTATTTTGTATTTTATTGCTTATTAATTTATATCAAATCCAACCTCATCATTCATTAGCAAATAACTAAGATAATGAAATGTGATTAATGAGTAAACTGTAACTTGAACCGTTTAGGTTCAAGTTTCTCCATATTTATTTTTCATTCAAACTCTAATTATATGTTAAATTTATTGAGTGACATCAATAGTAAAAGAAAATGTTATTTTCTTTAAATATCATGAATTCGAACGGTTGTGTATGCATTATCAATTATTAAAAAATATTTTAATAAAAAAAACTTAAATAGTATCTTTTAAGATTTTAATTAAAGTTTAAACATCATAAAAATTTAGTGAGTCAATAATGTAATTTAACCTAAAGGGGCGTTTGGAGGGGGGAATGTGAGATTCCCATGGGAATGGAGTCCACATTCTCCCGTTTGGTTAGCTCAGGAATCTCATTCCTGGTAATGTAAGATTATCAATAGTGGATTTTTTGGATATATTACCGGAATGTCATTACATCCATTTCCTTATGTATTGTTGGATTACCGACGTTTTGGACTCAAATGCCCTTATTTTTTTTTCAAAAATATCTTTCTTCTGTCATTGAATAATAAAAATTATACGAAGGTTAAATTACAAATTTTTCCTTAAACTATTTTAGATTTACAAAAAAGTCTATAATTAAAATTTTATATGAAGTTCAGGGGTTAAAAATAAAATTTTACCCTTTCATTAAATCTTTTTATATTTTCAATTTTATAAAAGAAAATTATATAAATTTAATGAATTTAAATTTTTTAAAGAAAATATATAAATATTTTCCAACTTGTTAAAAAACCAAATATATAATAAGGACAATTTAGTCAAATATACATTCCAATAATCTTTTATTCCTTTAACCAAACACAGTAATATTATATTCCTGCTAAACTAATCAAACACAAAATACAACATTCCCAGTAATCCTATTCACTGGTAATCTTACATTCTCACTGGTAATGTTACATTCCGTGAACCAAACGCACCCTAAGGGTAATTATAATACGTGAGCGTGAGGGTGACTTAAAGAAAAATTATTTCATGAACTTTATTCACTACGGTATAGATGATTTTAATTAATAAAAATTATTTATTTTATCGTTTTCTATTAGATTAATTATATGAAAAAAATAAAATAGATGATTTTTATTGGTTAGATCATAACATACGTGGTGAACATAACTCGTATAATAAATTTTGCTATTTGTATTTTTTATTTATCAACACAATTTTTTATTTTTCAACTAATTAATTTATTTTCGTATTTATTATATAATTTAAACACATCATCATTATCAAAATAAAATAATAAAAGCAGCTAGATCAACGAAACTAATTAGCTAAACAACAATAACATCATCATCACTAATATTAACCTAGCAGCTACCCTTTTCATCTAAAAATATTTATTTTTCTTTTTTATATAAATAAATACAACATTGTTTAATTTTCATTTCGATTTCTGTAATCTCTTCAATCTCGGCCGTGATTGGAGAAAGATCTCAAATTGTGTCAAAGTAATTCGGCGTTTGGCATTTGTTTTGTTTGGCTGTGAAAGGGAAAATAATCGAAGTTGGGGATTAAAGAAAAGGTCTTCTCTGAGTTCCGTGTCTCGTCGTTTTTCTTCTTCTTCCGATTACAAAGAAGATGCTGTATTTGAAGCAGCCCAGCTCTATTATTTGCAAAGGAGGAGCGATTATGGTTTGGCAAGAATAAGATAATTCCGGATTAAGGTATGAATTTTTCTCTCAACGAAAAGTAAAAGCGAGAAAAGTTCGGTTGTAAGTGCATGCTCTTTTGACAAATTCCCTGAGCCTGGGGCTCGGGGAGATCTGAATCTAGAAATCGAAAACGGAGCGAAAAAGAAGAAGCTTACCATGGAATCATCCGCTGCGAAAGGGTGCGATTGCGATGATATTGACGATAATGGCAGCTCCTCCCAATTTCAACCGTCTACGTGTATGCAGAAATTCAGACTCTACGAAACTCGATCGGTAATTTCTCTTTCATTTCCATTTTTTTTGTTTATTTGTATTATTGTTTCTTTCTTTGCTTTGATCTCATTAGTTTACGTTGTTAGCAGCTTAGTTTGGATTTAATTTTACTTGAATGGATTTGTTATTTTGTTTTGATGTTGAACTACTATTAAATTAAGTGGAAAAAGAATTTTGTTTTAACTAATTTCATTTTGGTGTTTGTGTGAAGAACTTTTATATGATTGGAAGGGACAAGAGTAGAACGTATTGGAGAGTGTTAAAGATAGACCGGCTTGATCCTTCCGAGCTAAACATTCGTGAAGATTCTACCACGTATTCAGAGAGTGAATGCTCTGAGTTGTTGAGACGAATACATGAAGGAAACATATCCACAGGAGGATTGAAATTTGTTACAAATTGTTATGGCATTGTTGGTATGGATGTTGGAATTTACATTATGACTTTAGGGGACTATTAATGTTATTCAAATGCCAATCTAATACCTAAACTGTTTCATGTTTTAGGGTTCATTAAATTTTTGGGGCCTTACTATATGCTTATTATAACGAAAAGAAAGCAGATTGGCTCAATTCGCGGTCATAATGTATATGCGGTTTCAAAGAGTGAGATGATTCCTGTTCCAAATTCAATTGTTGACTCAAACATTGCGAACTCTAAGGATGAGAATAGGTCTTCTTCTTTCCTTTTTGCTGATACACTTGGTCCACTTTTAAGAAGTCATGTATATTTGCAGAAAGATTTTCTGTTCTGTTCTGTACTATGATTAGTATAAAATTACTGGCATACTATTTTGTCCCCTTTGTTTTTTAACTTTTAAATTGCGACTTTTCTGCAACGGATTATGCATATAATTTTTAATTTGATATTAATTGTTTCACTTTTTATTTAGATACAAGAAGCTCCTGTGCACGGTCGATCTGACAAAGGACTTCTTCTTCAGCTATTCATACCATGTTATGCGTAGTCTTCAAAAGAACATGTGTAATAATGAACCAAGTCAGGTTCTTTATGAGACCATGTTTGTATGGAATGAGTTCCTAACTAGAGGGATCCGCAATCACCTCCAGAATAGTTTGTGGACAGTTGCATTGGTGTATGGCTTCTTTAAGCAGGTTAAGGATGGTGCTCATTTGAAGTTATTAGCTAATGTTTTATTAAGTTTCTGTTGTGCTTCTAAGATGGATGGTTAGCTTTTAGTTTGACATTTTGGCCATATGAATGTAGGCCATGCTTTCTGTGGCTGGAAGGGATTTCAAGCTTACGCTCATTGCCAGGCGATCCCGCCATTATGCTGGTACCAGGTAAGAAAGTTTTCCCGTATTAGTGGGGAAAAAGCTCATTTTCATTTTTATAGCACACTAGTGCTATGTGAAAAGAAATCATACTTGATTTTGTATGTAGGTATTTAAAACGAGGGGTAAATGAAAAAGGAAGAGTAGCTAATGATGTTGAGACAGAGCAGATTGTATTCGAGGATGTCCCTGATGGGCTTCCTGCAGAAATAACTTCTATTGTCCAGAACCGAGGCTCAATTCCACTCTTTTGGTCACAAGAAACCTCACGTTTGAATCTTAAACCAGATATCATATGTATGTGCTCGTAATTGATGGGAGTATTTCAGGTTCTGCTGCAGGCATTTTTATTTGCTCGGAAAAAGAAAAACTAACCCTTTTTCTCTTTTTCCAGTGTCAAAGATGGACAAAAATTATGAGGCAACCAGACTTCATTTTGAAAATCTTGTCAAAAGATATGACAACCCTATAATTATTTTGAATTTGATTAAGGTGATTCATTATATCACCCTGTACCCCTTTAAGGTTTCTCGGCTGTATCTCTTCATTATCCCAACCTTCTATTTTCTTCTATTATTTCATAAGCTGGTATATTTCTTAAAAACAGTGCATGTGTAGAAAGCCTAAAATTTGGTTCTGAGGGGGGGGGGTAGCATGGTATTTTGATTTTTTTATGCAACTCTACGATATCACTGATTTAATGATAAGGTTCAGTATCTTATAGCTTTTGTGTGATGAGCAGACACAAGAGAAGAAGCCTCGAGAGTCAATTCTTCGACAAGAGTTTGCAAATGCAATTGATGTTATAAATAAAGATTTGTCAGAAGAGAATCGATTGAGGTTCCTTCACTGGGATCTACACAAACATTCTCGGAGGTATGTCATAATCTTGTTATTTTGTCCCCAAACTAATATGCATTACGCTTTCTTTCCCCTTCTATTTATTTCTCTTTTCTCCTTTTGATTGATTCGTTTTTATTTTTATAGCTTGATTCCTAACCAGCAATAAAAATCTTCCACTTTTCCCCTTCCAGCAAAGCGACAAATGTGTTGCTGCTTTTGGGCAAAGTGGCTGCGTATGCATTAATGCTAACAGGTTTCTTTTATTGTCGGGTCACTTCAACCTTGAGACCCGAGGAGCGCATGGCTTGGTCTTCCTTTGAGTACGTTTTTCACATTAATAACTTCTGGTTTCGTATATGAAAATTTTGTAAATATGACTTTTTCTAAAAATAGTAATGAATGTTGTCTAGATACCCATCACAATCTCACTCATCAGTAGGGATTTTGAATTTGCAACATGTTTGACTTTTGCATAAGGTTGACACTTGGTTTTATGAGTTATGGATTTCTATATATTATTAATTAATATGGTGGAACTTTAATGATGATATGGTGTAAATATTAAAGATCTCTGTTTTGTATCTCTTACTAGTTGAAAATGGCATCTTTGTTCTCAAACGATGATACAGGAATGATAATGATATTGACATGTCACCCCAGAGATATCGCAACAATGTTACTGATGATGCGTACAGATTGGAGAGGAATTGTTCGGGATATAAGAATGGTACTAATGGAAATCATTCTCTCAAGCCTCCAACTTTCCAAAGAGGTGTGCTTAGGACCAATTGTATAGACTGTCTAGATCGCACTAACGTTGCACAGTATGCATATGGATTGGCTGCCCTCGGACATCAGCTTCATGCTATAGGGATTAGAGATACCCCAAAGATAGATCTGAATGATCCTTTGGCAGATAATTTAATGTGTTTCTATGAGAGAATGGGTGACACACTTGCACACCAATACGGTGGTTCTGCAGCTCACAATAAGGTATTTTTTTTATAAGATTTGAAGGCCTTGTTAAAAACCCCCTTCTTGATTAATGGAGCTTGTAGAAAAGTTCCTAATCAGCGGAAGGAGGAAAAGAGTGCCTTATGATTTCATTCAACATAGGTAGAATTACAACAGAATAAAAACCAATATACCCCTTACAAGAACCAGAAAACCAAAAAACAACCGCAAACAACAACATATTAGTCAGCCTATACCAGCCTTGGCTAAAGCATCAGCCTCTAAGTTTGCTGTCCTTGCAACCCATCTAACAACCCCCTCAAAAACTAAGTTTATCAACTATATCTCTAACAATAAAAGCATACACAACTGGGCATAAATCAACATTCTTAATCCAGTCCACTGCCACCCTGCTATCACTCAATAATCAACCGATCTTTTACCATCCCTTGAAAAGAGACAAAGAAAGATAAACCCCTTTGAATAGCTTTAACCTCCATCAATGTAGGAGGACCCGAACCAGCAGACTCCTTAAAAGAGCCTAAAATTGAACCAGAATGATCTCTTAAAACACCTCCAAGACCACTTTTCTTCCAATCACTACTTGTGGCATTCCAATTTGTTATTGTAATATTTGTTCTTTGGGAAATAAATGAAGAGGGGAATATTTGTTACTTAACTCATTCCAGTAACATGCATCACCAGCCTGTCAAAATTTAGATATAACTTATAAATACAATCATCTCAGTTTGTTAATTTTCTGATCTTTTATACAATGCAGATATTCTCTGAGAGAAGGGGTCAGTGGAGAGCTGCAACCCAGTCACAGGAGTTCTTTAGAACACTTCAACGATACTATAGCAATGCATATATGGATGCTGAGAAACAAGATGCCATTAATGTGTAAGTTTCAGTATCATGTTTGTCTTACTTCCAGGGTGAAAATTGATGTCCGTCTCACTTCGACACCGAATGACCTTAAAGCATGTTCTACAACTTTGATGCATATAGGTAGTTAGCCCTTTTTGGTTTAATACATCCCTGATCGTACCGAATGGAAAAAAAGGCTCATATATTTTATTTTGAATTCAGTCAATTTGACATTTCTCTTATAATTATCTTCAATTCATTTCTTAAATATATTATTGTTAATATCTTGACCAACTCTTGTAATAATTCTTTGTACAGATTCCTTGGGCATTTCCAGCCCCTGGTTGGTAAACCTGCCCTTTGGGAGTTGGGTTCAGAACATCATTATAGGGGAAGAAACGGGGAAACCATTGTGGACGAAGATGGAAGGTAGTTATCTAAGTAAAACCTTGAGCTTCGTGCCTGAGCCATAAAGTAGTCACTATAAATATTCTCCATTCTTTATTTTGGGAACCACATCTCTGTGAACATGCTTCCTACAATTGCTTGTTTTGAATGCTCAACTTTCTTGTTAATTCGGAAATTCTGGTTATGGGGTTTTTCTGAGTTGTGGTGGAAAGCCACTATTAGTGTACATTAGGACTTGTGAGTATGAAAAACAAACAGTTATGTAATGGCTTCCACGTTTCATCATGAACTATACGACTCTTGTTCACAGTTTTGATGCAATGAATTTAGTAAGTAGGTAATGTATGCAAACGAGATTTTTTGCATTTTCTTCTTTGTTTTGATTTGACTTTCTATTTAGTCATTTGATTATTGCTGTGTATCACTTCACTTTCTAATCCTTAATTTTCAGGTCATTTTTCAAAAGATCATTTTCTGATGGAAACATTCTTCGTCAAACTGGGTCACCTTTGCCAGCCGCAAAAGATAAGCAGGAGAAATTTGCCAATTCAACTTTGCCTGACCGATCACAAGGAAGCAATGGCCTTTCAGAGTCATCACCCGAGATATCAACTTGTGAGAGTGATATGTCGTATTCAAGGTTACTTGCTTTCCATTCCCATTGTTGAACATTGTTTACGTTGAGTTGTCATTGGTTTCTACTTTCTAATAGCTACAACCTTCTGTTCTCCATTGCGGTTTCAGTTGTATTGATCGTCGAATCTTTAATCTATATGCTTTACTGAGCTAATCTTTTTTATCAGTGGTTTCATTACTTTTTAGCTTCTGTTTAGGTGTTGCTGCCTGAATCAGCTGGTGGAACTTGATGTTTTATGGTTTCCTATAATTAATGGATCACCTTTGATACAGATATCTTCAAATTCATTGTGCAGGTGTACACCCTCTATGCCTCGAAGGCAGTTGTTTGGAGACGTGCAAAGAGATCGCTATCTTGAAACAGGTCAAATTTTCTTTTCTGGACATGGGGATGGAGTTAACTGCTCTAACTTTGTTGACTTAGACTGGCTTTCAACTTCCGGAAATTCATGCGAGGACGAACCATATGAGAGGTATGGTTTCCTGTTCTATATTTCATGTATGCTCCGAAGCATAAGCTTCAAGTCCACACTAGCATCTGTTCAGATAACGTACGCATAAACCTTTCCTATATGGTCTTTTCCGTTTGTACACTCTTTTTGTCGTGCTTATTACCTGCACTGCAGGTTACAAATGATAATATCAACTAACTTGAAAAATCAAAAGATTTATGTTATTATTCGGAACTAAACCTGTTCTTCCCCCAACACTGATGCATGCATACAAAAAAAAGGGCACTGCTCTTCCACAGTTTGTTCTGCAAGGTTTCTGCATTTTTACAGCAATGAGAGAATTTCTCGATTTCGGGATAAATTTTGTATAACCTATGTGAGGAAACTACATTTCAGAGGTCGTCATATATATCTGCAGGTCATCACTACTTCAAAGCTCTCCAGGGCTTTCGTTGGAGAATGTTGTCAATGGAGTATTGGGAGAAACAACCCCATCTACCAGTGAATATGGATCGAATATGAAGGTTGGTACTTGTATTGCCAGCGGGAGGCTCTTGAATCATACTTTTATGGTTATATGATGTATTATATAGATTGTCGCATAAAAAATGCACCATTTATGAATCAAGGTTTTGCGATCAACTCGATTTCTACAATGTATTTTGTAAAAACTGCAGCTGTGAGTTTCTCAAGCATGAAATAATGGCTAACCCGAGTTATATATTTATGTAGGGAATGCAGCGGAAAGGAACCGAGGAATTTACCGATAGTTTTGTGCAGTGGGTGAACGATGGACATGTGCTTTCCCATTAAAGTTTTGCTCGGTTTCCTCGAATCAGTGACATCCATGGCTCCACCTAGTCAAGCTGCTGTAGTGGTGGAAGCTGTTGAGTCAAAAGGCAGTTGTAGTGGCACTCTTATGTAAGATAACCTCGCTTCCAATCCGATCCGATCCCCCAAGACCCTAAATCAGAAACTAATACTCCTACAAGAAAAAGAGTAAATAGTCTACGGTTAAAACAGGGATTCCTCTGGGTGCTCATCATCAATCTCTCTTTAATTCCTTAATAGGTCTTTCAGTTTCAATAGGTCTTTCAGTTTCAATAGGTCGGTCTTGTAAATATATTTTTCGCATTTTCAAAGAGCTCCGTTTCAATCGGGTCTTTGATTCTTTATTTCCTTTCCATCCGTGGCCGGACGATACATGAAAATGAAACCGATGTTGCATTTGGGGGGTGGGGGGCTGATAGTTGGCTTTATGGCAAGCTGCCGAGTTCTAGAGCTTTTAACTTTTTTCAGCCTCCCGGGGTTTGTTTCCATAAATATATTATATATTAACTTGTTTTTTTTCAGTGTTATCACTGTATTAAAAACAATATTCGTTTTTGATTGTTTATTTATCACGAGAGAATTTTTTTAAAAAAATGAAGAAAAAAAATCAATGAAATGGATGTCGGAAAGGCTGAAACGGCCGCCTGACGTATATGCCGCCAAATAGAAAGTAAAATTTTATTCGAAAAATTGACCCAATTTAAATTTTATATTTTTGATTTGAAATTTTTTGAAATGAAGTTTGAGTGATGAAATATCTTAGTTCTTTTTATCTTTAATTTTTTAAATTTATTTTTGATTAAATATAAATTACATACCTCTCTATCAATGTAAAATATTACGATATAAAGGTATGAATTTGCGGTTTGCCCACATTTGCAACCTGCAAAGGTGGACCTGCTTGCTGAGATCATTGTTCACGGAAAACAGGGGTTCAACATCGATCCTTATCACGGTGATCAGGTTGCCGAGATCCTCATCAACTTCGTCGACAAATGTCCATCTTACTGGGATAAGATCTCCAAGGGCAGCTTGAAACGTATCCAGAAGTAAGCTCACAATTCTTATTTCTCTGCATTGTAGGAGATTTACTACTTTCATCTCACCTTGTTGACAATGATGTTTATATGTTTGCATTGTTGGAATCAGATACACTTGGCAGATATATTCGGAGAGGTTGTTGACACTGACTCGGGTGTACGGCTTCTGGAAGCATGTTTCAAACCTTGACCGCGGTTATAAGGGATTGGCCGGGGCAATTACCCTACCTAAAATTTTTAAATTTTTATATATTTTTTTTATAAATTCATCTCCTTTAACCTAAAATCATTTGTGATTTATCACCATTATCTCGATATGTTTTACTCTCTGAAGTACCGCCAGCTGGTATTCTTCAACCCCATTTCATTTGTTACATTAATCTCCCGACTGAAAGTTACAAAGTACTAACTACATTGTTTTTGCGTTTCAGGCTGAATCGGGTCCATTGTCAGTTGAGGAGTAAAAAGTGATTTGAAGGCGTTGAAACAATGGGCAATTCATTAGATACGGTTAATTTTCCCTGCTGCAAATGACAAACACAGAGTATTTGTTTGTTTCCCGAGAAACATTCAATTCTCATAAGCATCCGGAAATTAATCTTATCCGCCATTACTGACAGGTGTTGTTCGTTTCAATTTAAATAATTTTGATGTTTCATTAATTTAATCAAAGTAAGGTCGATCCTCATGATCTCCAAATTTGTTATTTTCAGCACAAACAACAAAATATTGTCTGATCAACATGTTACATCATTGATATCCCATGCATGCATGTTCTCGTTTTCTCCATAATTGTATTCATTTATCTATTACAGTTTCAAATCATTACGAAATATTTAAACCGATTAATAAAAAAATAATACAATATATAGATTTAATAAAAGGGTTAAATTAGTAAAATGTTGTCTTTATAAAAATAAAGAAACATAATTATGAGAAACTTATTTAGAGAAATAAAATATTTTTTTACAATAATTACCAAAATCGTCTCTAATTGTTTCTTCTTATCTTCTTATCTTCTTCCTTTTTCGTTTTAATATTTAACAAACAGACACATGTAATTAGAGTTGAAGATACCAAATATTACTCATATATTTTTAATGATTTTTCATTTAATTTTACAAAAAAAAATATTTTTCACTAATTAAACTTAATCATTAGTATTAATTTTAGAATCACAAACAATTTATTTAATTTTTATTCACATAAGTCCAAATCATATAACAAAATCTGTTATTACATTTACAATTTTACCCTCGCCAAACTCCTAACTTCCTTTATAAACGAACCTTCTCCCTCTTTTCATTGCTCACAAAGCAGCTTCTTCCTCGCGAAAACCTCTAGAAAAATCCTTATACCTCCCAATGGTGAAAGGCATTAACAAGCTAACAAAGCTCAAGTCAATTCTCAAGAAGCTAAACTCACTCAACCACAAGCAAAGCGGTCCGCCGTCGACCTCCGTAGTGGCGGCTTCCGACGTCTACGAAGAATCATCATCATCATCATTGGATGTCAACCTCCAGCCCGTCTACGTAGGAAAATCCAAGAGACGGTATCTCATCAGCTCCGACGTTGTCGAGAACCCTCTGTTCCGCGAACTCGCGAAACGTTCGGGTGAAGACGAAGACGATGTCATCAAGGTGTCGTGCGAGGTGGTCTTGTTCGATCACTTGCTTTGGATGCTCGAAAATGGTGATCCTGAGCCCGAGTCTTTGGCGGAGCTGGTCGAGTTTTACGCTTGTTGAGATGTTGCTTTGGCAACTTTGGTGATCGGAGAACGGTTCCCATATGGTCGTTCTTATGGTACACAGATTTGTACACTATGTTAATAATGCATGTGATTGGCGACTTAGATTAAGAAACGAGGAATTGATGATCGTAGAGATTTTTTTTTTATTTGTTAAATTCTTAAAATGTGTATTTTCCGTTTAGAGGATATTTTTTATTGTTAATTTCATCAAATATTAATGGATATATATGATCTCCATTAGTATTATTCTCTTCGAATATCCATAATTAATGGCTACTAAGACACAAAAATCAAAAGAATAGTATCTTTTACCATATAAATAAACGAAATCTATATATCATATTATATATCAATTGTCGGTGATTATTATTTTTCTTATTCATTTTTCATATCATGTTTTTTAAATAAGAATATATGTCATTGTGACAGGATTTTCTCAACTCTTGCGACATCCTTTTTCTCTGTCCTTGTGGCACGTTCCTTATGACTTTGGTATGTTTTTCATATACCTCTGAGATCATGTTGGTGCTCGTATAAAGACCCTCACTACATTTGTTTTTTAATTGGTTTGTCGGGTCACGTATTGTCAAGTCTCATCTTTGGTAAAAGATTGTTTGCCAATATAATCAGAATTTTGTAGCGAAGCAGCCTGCTCAATTGTTTGGTTCCCTCACCACTCCTTTATCACTTCGTAAAACATCTCATTGGACAGAGACAAAGTTATTTATGAAGGTTATTGGATTCTTTTGATGTTAGACGTCATTCTCAATTGAAAGTTTCATTTTTTTTTCGTATCTTTGGATTTAATTTTTTTTATGTATGAGGTTTTTTATGACTACTGTCTCATTTTTCTCTTTATGTTTGGTATGTTGCAATTTCAATTCCTTATGTTATTGTTGTTAAGGAAACTAAGTTGTCATTGCTAAAAAATAAACAAAAACTATAATCTTTATGAGATAAAGGGTTCGTAATGATTTGAATCTATGACTTGTATGAATGTTGATATTTATAAAGTTAATCCAAATAATATCTTAGTTACTCAAAGTAGTTTTATATTCATGAGACTTTCGATTGGAATCACTATAAATCTTATATATTTTTGGTAATAATGTAATGATAATAATAATAATAATACTTTTTTTATGTCGAAAAATGATATATTTTTATTGAAATTTTATAAAATAATAAAAATCATATTACCAATGGTTAAAAAATCATAATTTCACCTGGATATTTTTTTTTTTTTTAAAAAAAAAAAAGAAAGAAAGAAAGTTTGTCATGATATCTATTAATGATTTTGGTAACAATTGAAACAAATATAATTAAAAATATACTAATTTTAGAGATTATATAAGCTGGGATAAAGGAAGAAGAGAGATGAAGGCACGTGAGTATATAAAGTAATAATAGGTCCATGTTGGCAAAACTTTCGAGATAATGTTCTCGAATAAATTAATTCACGAGATAATGTACTCCACATATTAATTGCTCAAATATGGTGAAATCCACAGTGTTGGCCGTAGGTCGCCATGTCATCCGGGCGACCTACTAGGTCGCCATTTCTTCCCTGCGAGCTACGAGATATTTTGCATGTGCCATGCACGTCCCAACACGCTGGGCATCCGAGGCCATCCGACCGAGGGGTAGGTCGCCATGCACGTTGGGCTAAGTAACAAATATTACCTACATCGGTAATTAGGCTTTCATGCGATTACCTAAATTTCCTTAAGTAACAACGATTACCTACATCAGTAATTAGGCTTTTTAACTACACTGAAATGGAGGTCGCCATGTATGCCGGGCGACCTTATAGGTCTCCATGTGATCCCGACGACCAAACTGACGAGATGCCTAATTACCGATATAGGTAGTGAAGCAGCTCACCACAGCTCGCAGGGACGGCATGGCGACCTCCTTAGTCGTCAGGAGCGCCTGGCGACATATATTCGACAGCAAATAATTTTAGTTAGACCTTATTTCAACAAATAATTTTTTTCAAAACTCTACAGCAACAAATCACCCGGTCCATGTTAGAGGAATTTTTGTCCCCAATTTTGCTCTTTTATTCAAACATCTCACATATATTTTCGTCCCCACCCCATACACGCACATGCAGCCGAGAAAACTGTACTCCATATATTAAAGATTAAGATTAAAAATTAATCTATTGGATTTTCAAAGTATTCCAATTTTATTGTATTATGTGATCGAATATCTCTTGTATATATAATCGTTGATTTATTCCATAAAAATACGACTCATTCGAACAAGCCCGACCCAATACATGTACCAGATGGGCCTTAGTCTAGGGCAGCATGTTTGAGGAGGGCATCATGTTTGAGGGGGACATCATTTTTCTAGTACTTATAGTCTTGATTATAGTAAAATAATAAAGGTTTTTGCTTCAAAAAATGCACGAATGTATCATTTTAGTTGATATTTGTAGCCTTGTAGGTTTTGGTTTGTATTAGTATTGATATTGTTTGATTATAATTTCTATTACATTTTTGTTTTAAAAAAAATTGTTTATGTTGTCTATTATACGGTGCAAGTATAGGGGCATAAAATTATTATCTCACCCAGAGCATTAAAACTCATTGGACCGGCCCTGCATTCGAATGATTTCTTTGGTTCATTGAACCATAGTTTTCGTCATATTAAGTCCATCGCTTATAAGGCATGGGCATTGGCAACCCTAGCTTCTTCATCAATATAGACATCGGAATACCCATGTTTCCTTACGTATGAGAATGATTAAAACAAAGTGCAAGAGCATATATACATGCATGTATGTATATATAAATAAAATAGAATATATAATCAGCTTTCGTCAAAATATTCATAATGAGAACTAGATTAAACAGAGTTCAAATCATAACGTTACGAATAACTATAAAAAAATAATTTTATGTAAATAACATGGAAAAAACCATACGAAAGATGATAAATCAGGCTTTATTGCAATAAATGGGACAAGACCCAAAGTTCAAAACATTCCAACTTGGAGAGGAAATTCAAAGAGGGACATTTTAGTCCAAGCTGAAATTAAACGTTAAAAAAAGAAACAAGGTGGAGAAAACAAAATTCAAATAGCAATCATTCTTGGAAATTCCAAGCAACCTCGGCTTCTTGTTTACTCAATGGCAAGAGGAACAGTCTTGACCTGAAAAGCATCACACGTGTGCAGCAAATTAAACAACAGTCTTCCATACGAATTTATCGAAGAAGGAAAAAAAAATGAAGAGTTCGAACAACGTACTTGCTTGTTATACAGCAACGCGTGCAACATCTCGATGTAACGCTTGCGACCGCGTTGTTCGAGGTAAGAAACGTGTTTGGAGAAGCCATAAACACTGGTGAGAGTCAATAGCTTCTCAGAGTAAATCTGCCATGTATACCTGCAAAGGAAGAGCAAATGGGGAGTGGAATATGCTTTTAACTTTCGCAGGTGAAAAAAAAATTAAGATAAAAGCTTATAGCTTACTTCTCCTGTATACGTTGCAGGCCTCCCTGAGAGATCTCATCCCAAAAAGATGGATCAGCCTTGCATTTCTCGAAGAAATTAACGAGTGTCTCGGCGGACAAATCACCGTTATAAGGATCGATGTTGAACCCCGATTTGCCATGGACGATGATCTCCGCAGGGCCACCGTAACAAGTTGCGAATGTGGGTAGTCCACAGGTCATTGCTTCAACAACAGTCAAGCCGAAGGCCTCGTAAATAGCAGGCTGAACGAAAGCGCCCTTGGTGTCACAAATGTAACGATAGAGTTCACCGTTTCTCACTCGGTTCATCTGCGATGAAATCCATCGGAATTGTCCTTTCAAGTTGTATTTTTCGATAAGTTCATACATCTTCTTCATTTCGGCCTTCTCTTCTATGTCCTTGGATTCCTTTCTCCTATCTCCACCTACTACAACCAAGTTAACGAGTTCCCTCAGCCGGCTGTTCTTGGCATAGAACTCTACGAGTCCGGTTAAGTTCTTAACACGGTCCAACCGTGCCATGGTAAACAGAACCGGCTTGTTCCGATCTTTCAGGACACATCTGCGAGACGGCAAGTAAAAACATTGTTAACATTGTGAGGATAAGACAGTGAAAAGGGTGTAAAATAGGACAAACTCACAAATGCTCTGCATTCTCAACAGGGCTGTAAAGAAGCTCTTCGATATCCGGGTGGAACTGCTTCAACCTCCGTTTCTCTTCCGTGTAAGGGAAGTAAATGTTCATATCAGCACCGGGAGAGACGATATTGAATTTAGGATCGAACACGTCGATTCCATTAACAACACGGTAGAGCCCCGGAAGAGTGAAAGCCATGTGACTCTCGTATTGGCCAAGAGTGTCCTTGCTGAAAATCATGGGACACAAATGTCGTTAGCGTCTCGAATAGGTGACGGCATTACATGTAGTAAGGTGGGAGATATTTGCTACCTTCCAGCAATCTCTTGGAAGGTACTGGTGATGATAAAATCAGTTTGGTTCATTGCAATGAGGTCGGCAGTGAACTGACAAGAGAAGTGATACTTATCCTCGAGCTGTTTCCAGTTGATGTCTGAATCCGGGTACTTCGTCTTCTCGAGAGCGTGCGCAATGGTGCACTGCATGAAACATTGAAGAACAAGTTCTTAGACTGTATGAAAAAAGATCAAAATACGGAAACCAACTAAGTCGATGAATTCGACTTCAACAAACCTGTGTAACATCAAACTTATGTGCCAACAAAGAGGCAACAATGTTTCCATCACTGTAGTTTCCAATAATCAGATCAGGCTTGCCCTGGAACTCCTTGGTAATCTCAGCCGCAACATCTTCTGTGTACGTTTCCAAGTAGGGCCAGACTTCGAATCTCGAGATCCATTGACGTACAATTCCCTTCTCGGTTCTGAAGGGTACACGAAGAATATCGGAATACTTGGTTCCATAAACTTTCTCGAGATGCTGACCGCAAGTTGTTCCTACAGCATCAGGGAGAAGTCGAGTGATCTGGTAGAAAAACAACCAAAGTAAGCATCAAACATAGTGTTATACAAATTCTGACAAAATGAGAATCGTAACCGATATAACATTCGAACACTCACGATCAGGATACGTGGGGTAATGTCGAGTCCTTGCAGCTTGAACCGGTGAAGCATCTCTTCCTCCAAGGCGCGGACTTGATCCAAGATGTAAACAACCTGACCACCAGTGTCAGGGTATCCCAAAACATTGTCTTGAGCAAAGTATCCGTGAGGAGTCATGATAACAACATTGGTGACCAACGGGATTCTTCCGAGGAACGTCTCGAGTGTGATGGGATCGGGTGCTTGCAGGAGATCCAGAAGAAGATGGATCGTCTCTAGAACATGCTCGGCATTATCGCCCCATCCCTTCTCCAAACCAATCTCCTTGAACCTTTTCTCGTAAACCGAGTATGCGGTATCGGATGGTACAGAATTCAGATACTCCTCTGCCTTCCTCAATGCATGTTGCAGGGAGTTCACATCTCGAATTCTTTCATTCAACAGCATACCCTGTGACAGAACAGAGAACGATTCTTAAGTTTCGATGTACTAAAAGTTGCAACGAAAAACAATAGATGAATCATTCATCGATTACCTTTCCCTTCTGGCAATGAATTTGGAGAAATTCAAGCAACAAGTTCAAGTTCTCCTTTTCTTGAAACAGCTTGGAAGAAAGGTGACGATTGAGGAATTCCATGCCATTACCAATGGACTTGGAAAGAGATGGACGAGGAACAGAGTTGTTGAATGCACCAAAGTCCAATTCCAACGTGAACTCACCGCCATTGGAGCTGAAACACATCATTGACATCGAGCATTGTTCAACATAAACACGATATAACTCGAAAACTTAAAAGAAAAAAAAAAGAGCCCCAAAGCTACATACCTTCCATCAACAATCTCCTCCTTCAACTTCAAGTACTCAGCAACCGGCAATTCCTCCACAAAAAGCTTTTGTACCTCCACTGCAATGTACTCCCAAACGCCGGGAGCCGAACGAATAGCAAGAGCAACCGATGGAGACGACACCACAGCTTCCTATTAGTCAACATAAACGTATCAAATCCAATATCCTCATCAAATCAAGATCAAGAAACATAAACATAAACATAAAAAAGGGTTATTCATTGTCACCTGAGTGGACCTCAAGACGTCAACGACCACCCCGTCAAGCGGTTGTTTCCCGGCCTCCTTTTCAAGAACCGAGAGCAGCTTCTGAGACTTATGGATACCCTTTCCGAGGCTTTCAATACTGCATCACATATGAACAAATGTAATCAAAAAATTCAGAAACAAAAAACCCCAGAAAGATCATGGCATGCAGGGCTTACCTTGAGAAGATAGACTTTGCTAGCTGTGGATGAGTAGCTAGAGATTCACCCAAACGTTCACAAATGGAAACTGCAGCCATTGTTTCTGAGTTCCCGAAACAGAAAACTGGAAGAGATGAATGGAAAATATCAAGCTATGGATAAAATGAGAAAAATGCAGAGTTATATAGCACTGGAAAAGCTGGACAGATGCATTGGAGATACCTAATTAAAGCCATTAAATTTGATAAATTAAAACAAAGTGGGTGGGGATTACTAGGACTACATCTAACTCCAATACAAACAGTACATCCAGTCAAAGAAGTTACAAATTTTCAACTTGTTTTCTAAAAGAAGGCAAATAATATTTTAAAAAAACCCAGAAAACTTAGTGCAAATGATAATTTTGAGGGTCTAAAAATCCAAAAAAAAGAAAAGAAAAATATTGTGGAGTTGAAGATTGAAGGACCTACCAAAGAAAAAGGCAATGGATTGAAAGAAAAATAATGGAGAAGTGTGGTCTAAGGAAGCATGAATTGCATTGATTATATAGGAGAGTGACTACTTAACTAGAACTGGTAACCCTAAATGATCTGAGCTAACTCCACCAATAGAAATGGAATCACCAACTTAATTTTTTTTAGAAAAAAAGGAAAGCTTTTTGCCCAAGATTTTTTTTTTGGAGTATTGCCAAAGAAATTAACATAAATATGGATTAAGTTTGATATTTATATATTAAAAAGGTATAATTAATGCATTGGTTTTCTCTTTTTATCGGATATATTTTATTTGATAAAATAATAATTTAATTGAAAAAACAGAGATATTATTACTGAATTATTAGATATGCATAAGCCTTGCGTGAGGTCTTGGCTTTGAGAGTCATCGTCCAATCTGACTATAAAGGTTATAAAACTTATTGAAGCTGATGATGCTGCAGATGACCATTGTTCACTGGTTCGTGCAGTGCTATTGATAACTTACGGCGTCGAAGGTGGGTAACACAAATTCTTTGGATTCCTCGGGAAGTTAATATGGTAGTGAAAGCTCTCGCTAAATTAGGGACCTCAATCCAAACCGATTATTATATTATTAACTTATGTCGGAGATTTTTCACCCTAAAGTCGGATTTGACTCTTATCATTAAGAAAAATCTCACATTACCCGAATTTAATTTTGAAAAAAAAATTGATGTTATAAAATCATAATCTATTCGATTCAGATCGAATGATCGTTTGATCGTTCTTTTCGTTTTAAGTTTCTTAGAGTTAGATTTGACGTTGCCTTGATTGATTAAGATGCCTCTTATTTGTTATTCTACTGATTTTCTCTGTTTTTGACCCTCAAATTATATCTTGATACCCAATTTACGTTCGAATACAATTTTCTCACAACGTTCGGCTCTGATTTGTAATCGTCGATAATCTTTCAATAGTTTAATTTCACGTTGTGGTTCGTTTGTCGGTAAAGTCAAATTTATTCGTATTTATCTTTTGTTCGAATTTTTTTAGATGAGTTTTTAACATTTTTCCTATATGATCCTTGTATGTTCTCAAGTAGCTAGTTTCGTATATCAATAGTTACAAGAATGTGTTATATATTTTATTTATAAACTTTTATTATAATTTTAAATATTTTTCCTTTAATAAAACTAATAACTATTATTTACATTAAAAAAATAAATATGATAAGTGGTAACTGTCTATATTGGATAACCTTTAAACATTTGGATAGCTTCATCGTTCAAGCATAAAGTAGTTCGAAATTACATATTATTACTGGCACCCCTCAATCCATTCAAGCATAATGATTCATGATAAAAACATAAACACAGGTAAACAATCACGAGGCTATGGAACCAGATTGTGGTGGTGTAATAGAAAGGCAAAAATGGGACAGGTGAATAACAAGATCTGGTCGGAGCAGACCATCTCACACAGATAAACGTTCGTCCTCGCACTTTTAATTCATCTGCAGCTGCAAAATCAGAACAAACTTTTGGTGTTAAGGTGAAGTTTCTGGGACGGCATAACTTAAAGAACAGATAAGAACCTGTTGGGAAGAAACCGAGTTGCCAACAGGATAATTCTCTATACATTTCAGGAGATATTTGAACGTCTCGATTTCACAGGGAAGAGTAAGTCCGCCGATGTGACCGTACCCGAATTCCTCCTCCGCCTTCTCCAGCAAAATCGTGAAGATGGGATGGCTAAGGTATCTCGTGGGGATGATAAACCTTCGAAGCTCCATCCCCACGTAAACCGCCAAATACCCCTTCGGGACATCGGGGGGTGGTTCGGGGCCGTGGCAATTATCCTCGTCGGAATCACAGGATATGAGGTGTTTGAGCCTTGTGTTAATCTCATGTGAGAAAACCCCATGATTTTCTTCCGAATCCGGGGTGTCCGGCTGCCACTTTTGGAGGATTTCATTCAGTCTAATGAACTGCCGGATTCCGGACTCGCTACCGCCTTGATCATCCATTGCTGAATCTGGCGTTTGAACCAAAAAAAGAAAAAGAAAAGAAATACGGTCGTTGTTTTAGCAGAGAACCCGAAGAATAAACGCCATTGCAAAGCTCATAAACAATGGAAAATGGGCCAAAAAGACAAAATCATCGTTAGCGAAATGGAAGTTGGTAGTTGTTCATGGTCTGGGTTTAGATTATTTGGAAATGTTCCTGCTGTTTCATTGATTGTCGCAGGAACATTTGCTTCGGGTAAAGCGACTGTGTCGGAGGTTGGAGTTTTCTGGTCTAATGATTTTTTGGTTTCTTCCATCTTTTCCCCTTACCTGCTAAATGCAACACGGTGTCCATTTCAATGGATTTTAAGCAAACTATTTTCAGTTAATCACATATTAATTATCCTTAAATTAAGTTATTCTTTTAATTATATCATTAACAACATACATTATAATTATCTCTTACTATAAAAGCCCAAATTATCTTTTACTATAAAATAAATTATTATTTTTGAAGATAATAATTTATTTTATTTTACTTTTTAATATTTACTTGAGCAGTTATTTTAACTGATGAGTAAAAATGATGATATGATATATATTACGGTAATAATAAAGTATATGTAAAAATATTACTTTAGTAACAAGCGTTGAACATTTGTTAGTTTAAGGATGAATATTGGTTGGGTCGGGTTTTTAACGGATAGAACTAGATTCGAATATCAAACCTCTCCATATGTCGCTCGATTTGACTTGGGTTTAGGGAGACTCTATTCTACTTGATTTTAGGGTAAACACCATATCCAACACAAATATATGTACAATTCTCTTTTTTTATTTGATAAAATAGAGATCTAATTGAAATATATAGATAAAGAAAGGTATTGTTACAATTATGTTTAAATATATAAGGGATAATATACTATTATCTTAAACTAAGTCGAGGATTTTCCATCCTAATCTTGATTTCGATCTTATCTCATCCTTTAAAAAGCCTAACTCGATCCGAACCTTTTTAAAAAAAAAAATTAATCTTATAGAGTCAGATCAAAACTAGTTAGACTCGAATCTCATGCTCATAACCATCTCTACATCAACTAACAATTTTCATTTTTAAAATGATCATTTTGACCAAAAATAAACATTGAAGACTAAATTGCTTCAAAAATATAGAGATAAAAGTGATTATTTTTTCAAACATTAACAAAAACTTTTGGTATTATACCTTCTTAAAAAATTAAATTAAAAAGTACAAGGAGTAATGGCAAATTAAACCATTTTATAAACTAAAATCCACTTATATTCTAATTGCAATACACACTAATGGTCAGTCAGCTTTACGAGAAGGGCAAGGGACGATAAATAGCAACCACTGCTAAACTCACACGTGTCACAAACAAAGAAAAAGCAACAACAACAACAAATTCAAAAGAGTATAAAAAAGGAACAATTCCATGCAAGCAAGTCGTTGGTTTATCTTAGCAAATTAGCATATTTCCTCTCAGATTCTGGGCATCTCCTTCAACCCTCAACTTGCTCTCCCTTTAAGCCTTAGATTTTCATTCATCTATCCCATGAACGTTGCCATTTATATATAGACAGATTGTTTTTCTTTTTACTTACAAAACCAGAAACACAAACAATTCAAACAAAATGAATCAGTTGTTGGATTCTCCGCTCGAAGCTTTAGCATTTAACTATTTAAGCTTTGGGATTTTCACGGTGTTGAATAATCTCTGGACGTGGATCGCTGTTCTCACGGCTGCGCTTAGTTTTTGGAGGATCAGAGCAGCCGCCGTTTCATCAAGGTATGTTCAAAGTAACGACCCAAAGCCGTCGACGTCCATTTCCGATCGTGCCCCAGACGAGTCTCCACCGGTTCCTGAACCCGATAACAAGCCGACCCCTTCAGCTTCGGTCGCGGAGACGAGCGTTTGGCCGTTAGTTTGCAGAGGAGTGACCAGAGGGAAGTTTAAGTTGACTGTTTATCACGACGATGACGGAGAAAAGAGTGACGTCGACGTCGACGTCGACAGTGGAGTGAGGGGAATGGGACCGGGTGACGGCGGTGGCGAATGTAATCAATGGTGGGAGAGTTGGGAAGGAGTGTTGAAGTTGAGGAACGGGGAAACGGGGTGGTACAAATATCAGGATTTGACAGCGTTAAACGGCAACGTTGTTAGGTTATGGGATGAATCATGCAAGTGTAGGAGAAGAAGGTAATAGCTCGAGTTGCTGTGCTTTCATGGTGGTTGGTTGTGATGGCATTTTAGGAATAATTATTATTATTATATAGTTGGTGTGATGTTTATTTTATATATATTAAATGATTTTTGGTTTTAAGGTAGTAGAAAACATACAATATGTAAATATTATATAATTGTTGGGTCCAACAATCATTGAAAAAACAAATGAAATTCGTTCAATAATTTTAGTGGTTAGAAGAGTAAATTACACAAATGATCCCCAAGTCACAAGATATTTTATTGAGTCACTCGATTATTAAAAGTTACAAAATGGTCTCTCGATTATAGAACACTACTTTGTCGAGTTCACTGGCTATTAAAAGTTACAAAATTGTCATCCGACTATTCATATTTTCTAAACTTGTCTTTTTTCGTTAAAATTGATGATCGTCTAAACTAAATGTAAAAATATTGACTGAGATATAATAAAATATAATCCCAAAACTTTTTTTGTTGTATTTTGTGGATTGATTCTCTATTTACTTTATATTGTTGAGCTAGTGCTTGAAATATTATGTTGTGTCGGGTATCCATTTTGCAACTTTTAATAGTCGTGGGACTCAATAAAATAACGTCCTATAATCGGGAAATCATTTTATAACTTTTAATAATACGAGAACTCAACAAAATAACGCCATATAATTGGTGAACTATTTGTATAGGGTAATAATTTTTCGGGAGAAAATGGATTTTTTAACACGAAGATTAAAAAAATTAAAATTTTATAGTTTGTATTTTAAAAGCATCTTTAAGAGTTAAAATTATACTTTTCAACGTTCATTTCTTATCGTATAGTGTTTCTATTTCATAAAGTTATTTTTTTATGCAAACATTATACGTTTAGAGATCATATCATCACATCACATACCAAACACGATTTAAGGACCACTAGAACAATTTTAATAAATTTAGGTTGATAGTAGTAATATTATATCATGAGTATTGATTTTGTATAATATAACCAAATTAATATATTATATTCCTATTACAATATATTGGTATCGAAGTAACAGAATTGGTCATTGGTGTAACCAAATTAACGCCAACTGCGTTAACGAAGCTACCGAGCCCAATTGCCGGCGGAAATTATATATATCAGCAGATTCTTAAGTGTCCCATAAGCCAGCTTACGTACCTTCGGCCAGATCCCAGAAAACAGGGGTAGAGCAATGATTGAACTCTTTTACTTGTATGGCGCAAAGATGATGGAGGAGTTGTGGCCACCAAACCCGAAAGAATTAGACAATGCGGCCTTTACATTCAATCTTTCTTTCTTTGGCCCTACGAGCACGTTCGTGTCCTGAACCAGAATTGTTGGCAATATAAGATAATATCATCGGGTAACCAAGGGAAAAAAGCCAAAAGATGGAGGTCGAGCTGCTTCAAAGCGTAACTTTCAAAGAAAAATAACAATGAAAAAAAGAAGAAGGGGAAGGTGCAACGGCAACATACAACTCCTTCATCCGGGGTTTCTAGATTGATGTTCGGATGGACCCAACCAGTCTTTATTGCCTACAATAAATAAATATTACCATATCAATGCTCAAGTCCCATAAAAAGAAAAGAAAAAAATAATCAAAGCTCGGCATACTTGTATTGCTGCAACAGCTTCCACAGCACCAGCAGCTCCCAGTAGGTGACCAATCATTGATTTCGTAGAGTTCACCTTCAACTGCAAATATTGGAGATCTTATTACAAATCACGACGCAGAAACATGAAAAGCAAATTGCAAGTAAATGCAAGTATCAGAGAATAATACAGAAAATAACCTCAGGATTCTTGCCAAAGCAATGGAGAAGAGCCTGGTATTCTTTAATGTCTCCAGATGGTGTAGATGTAGCATGAGCATTAATGTAATTTATATCTTCTCTTGGTACATCAGACTGAGCCAGGGCCTTTTCTATGCAGAGAATGGCACCAATACCTATTTTTCGATTTCACAAGATCGATGTTAGTTTAATGGTTCATATTGGGAATATGAGTGACAATCGTGCAACGAATACCAAACCCACAGAACAAGAAGTTGACCTAAGGTTCCTCTAAACTCAATAGCCTATCCTACAACATTATTCTAATAAAAATGCTTTAAAAAAAGAACCGGAACAAAAGCTCTACAATGAAACACTGGATAGAAATAACTTTCGGGTTAAAGAAGAAAGAATTGCAGTAGTAAAGACAAGGCTCGTTACCATCAGGGTGTGGCTCAGTCATGTGGTAAGCATCACAAGTGAAGCTTCCACCCAAAAATTCTGCATAGATGGTGGCACCTCTCCTCTGCAAAATCAGAAACCTAAACTCGATAATTTTCCCTTCTAAGAAGGAAACTAATGTGCATTCCCCGAAACTTCACCATAAACCACTATGTGCAAACCTATGGTTCAAACAAGGCTTGTAGGGTCGAAGAAAGCGTACCTTAGCGTGCTCCAGTTCTTCTAAAAGCAGAACCCCAGCACCTTCCCCCATGACAAATCCATCCCGATTCTGTGTAAAAGTTAGAACCATTATCCAGGTAAATAACACTCATGAAGAAGACCAAATTTTTTTTGTGCATTTTAACCACCAAGGATTAAAAACAACTTCATAAAACGAACAACAAAAGAAAAATGAAACTATGGAAGCTCAAGAGTTGTTGAAATATTACAGCATCCCAAGGGCGTGAAGCTTTGGTGGGATTGTTGTTCCTTTGAGAGAGTGCTCTGCATGCCACAAATCCTCCCAATCCTGAATAAAATATCATAAAATCGAGTACATCCTGCTGTACCAACTGGAAAGATTGTAAAATGATGTCAAATACAAAAAAGAGAAAGAGATACACACCAATCGGGATAATTGCTGCATCTGAGCCACCACAAAGCATCACATCCTGCGAATTTGTTTCAAATACCTCAGATTCAGAGTAATAAAAACAAACTAATCATATATTGGGTTTTCTCGCTTTCCTCAACTTACAGCTTCGCCTCTAATGATATGGTTTGCTGCATTTAATATGCAGAAGTTGCTTGTCGCGCATGCAGTGGAGATCGAATAGTTAGGCCCCATCCATCGCTGAAGAAATCATCAGTTTAAACTTTGAAGGTCGAAGTTCAAAGTTCAACATCTATCTTAACATTGCAAATTCTAAATTTAAGCTCACCAAATCCATTGCAAGCATTGCCGAACCCATATTTGTAGTAGCAAATGGTACGCAAAAAGGATTCATCTTCTTGTACGAGATCCTCAAAGCTTCAATCGCATCATTGAAAACCTTTTCAATCCAAAAACCACATAAATGAATTATTGGAACTACAAATGAAAACTAACTGTAAAATCACTTTGTTTCTTAAGGTTTCATGCCCTCATGTGGGGTTGTATAGACACTATGTCACTTATGATTCAAAATTGTACCACTCTCGAATTAATGTATGCAGTATGCAGGTAATTGCTGTCAGCATTTCTTATATCTAAGTGTCCATCATCGTTATAAAATAAAGGCAAGTGAACTATAAACTGCAAAATATACCTTCATGCCACCCATTGCTGAGCCAATCAAAACTCCGCATTTCGCTTATCTAACTCATCCATTACATCTTCAGTTACTCCACCGTCTTCCAACGCTTTCTTTCCAGCAATAAGCATATAAAGCATGAATTTGTCCATCCTCTTGGAAAGTTTCGGTGCAACCCAACCATCAGCCGAGACAGATTTTATCTCTCCAGCAATTCTCTAGAGAGAAAATGGGAGCAGTAAGAACAAGCGCTAGTGCAAACGAAAGCAGCTGAGATATACTAAACACAACTTACAGTTGGAAACTGCGAACAGTCAAAAGTTTCGATTTCACTTATACCACTAGCACCCTCGAGCAAGTTGTTGTAGAAGACGTCGGGATCATGACCAAGCGGAGTCACCATTCCCATCCCTGTCACAACAACTCGTCTTTTGTTCATAGGAGGTTTCTTCTTTGTCGTGATTTCTCTTGTGGGTTGCACAGCTACAGCCATGGCTTCTCCTACGTTTTCAAATAAATTAACCCATCGATCACATGTAGCTTAACTGGCAAGTTATATGAAATTATATGCATGAAGAATGCTTCCATTATCACCACCATTTAGCAGATGATGTATACACAAACAAACAAACAAACACATACATACAATAAAGCCCAGAAATCTAGTATGCTTAGACAAATATGTTCTTATTTTATATCGAAGGTGGCAGCGAATCTAACAAAATGCTCATCAGGACAAGATGACACAATACGAGACCAAAAAAACAATATCAGCCTCCCCATCTTGCCAGGGATAAAATAAGGACTGAAGGCAAGGGGGTAGACAGAGCAAGATCTATGGTATTCATAATTTAATATTATGAATAAAAAAATTGCACATTTATCGTTTCCTTTTTCTTAAAATTACATGATCCTATAAACAAATAATTTCTCATCACCATAGAACTAATAGCAGCTTGAATTCAACTGCATTACTAACTCTCAACTAATCAGTAAATTTCAATTGAATCATAAATTTTTCATAATTAAAAACAAAACCTGGGTGTATGAGTATCAGTATATCTCAGCTTACTATATTTCTATATTCAATTGTTTTTTTTTTCACTTCCAATTCCAAAACTGCTTTGAAGAAAACAAAAGCAGCTGTAAATGAAAATAATAAAAGAAAAAAACCCAGATTTAAGAAGGTAGCAAAAATCAACATACGTTTTTCCTATTGAATAAAAGAGAAAAAAAGCTAAAAAAATTTACCAGAACGGACAGCTGCTCGATCGAGTCTGCGTTGCTTGCGATTGTTATTGAAGGGAACGATTTTGGATCCAAACAAAGGAGAAAAGCTTCCATTTTGACCAAAAATGCTACTGTTTTTGGAGGAATAGTACTCGTCACAGGGCTCAAAAGCTAAGCACGAAGTCATCAAGCCTTGAATGCCGGATCCACAAACCGACGAAATCAACCCCCCGTTTTGGTTGCTTGCTGAGCCGCCGCCGCCGCATTGAGAAAGAATAGCTCTCCTTCTAGTACGAGCCCAACGGCCGAGTCTCTTGGAAGA